ATAGCATTGTGGATCTTTATTTACTTATCTTTAACAAATTTTATGATTTTTGGGGATATAATACTGTATAGTGTACCGCTTGCATTACACCACGAAGGCGGAGGAGATCGCACAATAATTGCGTACGAAGACCAATTTCTCCCTGAGGATCGTGCGTTTGGAGTCTCGGCACGACGTGAATTTTAATTCATTTGTGGTGAGAGTGCCGACTGAACATCTGGCGACCTTTTTGAAAGAGGAGCTTTGGCCGAAAGGTGTGATGTTCCGGCGTTTCAAAGGCAGGCTACCTGACACCACTCCGCGCGACACGTCGCCAACTAAACGTGCGGGTTATTTAAAATTTGTTATTATTTTATATTTCATATCCATGTTAGACTATAAGGTATATATTTCTAAGGGCCTACGATTCCTGAATACAAATAAATAAATAAAAATACAATCACACTAATATTATAAAGGCGAAAGTTTGTGAGTGTATGAGTGTGTATGTTTGTTACTTCTTCATATCGAAACGGCTGGTGCGATTTTAATAAAATTAGGTATGGAGTTAGCTGACACCCTGGATTAACAAATAGGCTACGTATTACTACGGGAAAATATCCCTAGTAAACCGCGGGTAACATCGCGAGGCACAGCTAGTTTTTAATTAATTTACTTATGGTTTCTTAGCATTGGGGATCTTTATTTATTAATCTTTAACAAAGTTTCTACAGCGATATTTGTGGATGTAATACAATAAAATATAAATACAATCTTAAGGCCAATTACAGAAACTTATTATGTACACATTAGATACTAACGGCGTTACTTTATATGCATATAACATTTAATTTTATAAATTGGATTAAAATCATATTATTTACTAATATAAAATTAAATTAAAATTGCATAAGACATAACAAATGACGGATAAAAAGAAAAACAAACGCTAAATATGCATTTAAAAGGGGTTTTAAGAATTTGTCACAATGATAAGTTTTTTATGAAGTATGTGTGTGTGTGCGTGTCTATGGCTGCAATGCTTATTTATTATCTTTATTCACAAAAAGCCATTTTAGAAAACGTCCGTTTTTTTCCTTGGGTTTTTTCCTTTAAACTTTAAGAATCTACATAATGAAATTACTGTTAAACACCAGAATAGATGTAGGAATATCAGGAATATAAGGAATATAAAAATTTCTGGAATAATATGATTTTTCTAGTTTTTTGATAATATTTCAAAAGGCAGAATCAGAAAGAGATGAGTGCTGCTTTGGCAGTAGCAAGCAAAGACTTCTCCCCCAAAAGGAGCTCAATTGGAGCAAAACATCCGATGCAAAACAGAATAGGTAAATTAATATGTAAAAACTTCCATTAAAAAAAACTAGTCTCATTTCCATGTAGTGAGTGTCCAGCAAAATAATGAGACATTAAAACAAAGTGCACCTACCTACATCCTCACGTATTGTTAAAAACAATATAGCATAGGCTGGGGATACACATGCCAGTAAATCGGGAAAGTAGCTGGCATGAAAGTTACTGGCATGTACGAGTAACTGGCACACTGCGGATACATTTGCAACTGGCATGCAATTTGTGGCCTTGCATGCCAGGACCATACACAGGACAGGACATTACCATCGCGTATACACAGGGCAGTTCGTAAGAGTAAGTAAAGCGAGCTAGTCGGCTGCCAAAGACATTCGTATTCTCTGTGCAAATGAATGAGCTGTATAGTTCTCTCATCTCCCCATCGTGCCATGTTGAATACAAAAACCAAAAAAAAACTTGAAGAAACTTGACCTCCGAAATCAAAAGAAAAAACCTGCACCTACGGCCACAAGGAGTCGGCTAATGGCATGCCAGGTTAGCAGCCCCCCGCGGCACCTCCCTCAACGGGCATGCAAGTAAATCAAATGTTGTGCTAGCTGCATGCATGTCAATATGCCAGTATAACAGGCATGCCAGTTAGCGTATACACATGCCAATAGCTAGCACGTGCAAGGAGCTGGTATGCTAGTGTGCAAGCTTCGGGTATGTGTATCCCCAGCTTAAGAAAAACCGATGCCCGTTGGGGCGGAAAGGTTCTAGAATGGCGACCACGCACAGGACGACGCTCAGAGGGCAGGCCCTCTACAAGATGGACCGACGATCTTCTGAAAGTCCCTGGAAGCCGATGGATGCGAGTGGCGCAGAACCGATCGGTGTGGAGATCCTTGCGGGAGGCCTATGCCTAGTAGTGGGCGTCCTACGGCTGACATGATGATGAAGACTTAGGTAATTTAAAGTTAAGATAAATATGGTAGACTATATAACGATTGGACCTTTATGCGGAATTCTGCATTTGTTTATCTGTTGTAAATTCATTATTAGTTTTCTATTGAATATTCCAAAATAGTAAGTAGATGTTAAGTAACAAAATAAAATGAATTCAAAATGCTCAATATTAACGTTTAATGAAATATTTTTAAATTTGCAGAAATAGTTCCAAATGTATAGTGATTGGTATAGCAAAAGAATAGGTAAAAAAACTTTTTAAGTTAAACGGTTTTATGTTAAACATACATTGCAATGTTTAAGATAAATGTACTAAAAACCAAAAAATAATAAAATAGATACAGTCGTGGGAATTATAAACATATGCATAGACTAGACTAAAATAAAACCGTCAATTGTCTACAAATTATCGACTTAATGTGCGATAGAAGAATAGTTTAATTCGTCGTTAGGCAGTTGGCCCGCAGACGGTGAGGAAATTACTATTTTCTTGCTCATGGAAATTCCAATAGTTATACACTCCATGTAAATAAAAGAGATGTTTCAACTAGTTTATCGTTGGACATTCACACTGCTGGCTGGCGAGGAATCGTTTCACTGCTCGTAGTTTGTCTTTAATCGACAAAACATATGATAAAATTACTACTCGCTCACCACTATGAAACCCTAAAACTCGCTTATAATCGAGCTTGCTAGCTTGTTTCTACATTCTAGCCCTACTTATTACACGTCCATCGTTGTCGGTTGAACAACTGCCTAATTATAGTGTAACATTACAAAACAAACATTATAATCAACGATTGTAGACAATTGACGTGCCCCACGGTTTTATTTTAGTCTAGTCTATGCATATGTTTATAATTCCCACGACTGTATCTATTTTATTATTTTTTGGTTTTTAGTACATTTATCTAAAAACATTGCAATGTATGTTTAACATAAAACCGTTTAACTTAAAAAGTTTTTTACCTATTTTTATTTTCTAGCTTTTAGTTTTTATTTCGCATTCTGTTTAATTCATTTAGTGCTTCATTATTGCAAGGTTTCTTGCCCGTTAGTTTATTGCAGTCCAACTCCTCTATACGTAGTCCCTGCAAAGATCTTACTCTACTAAGAGCCACGTAGGCTTGACCTTCTTCAAACAGTTTCGCACCTAAGTATACGACTGCGTGATCCACAGTGCTGCCCTGCATTTTATGTATAATCGACTATTTCTATTACCTTCACTTTCTCTAGCTCGTTTTGCTTTATACTTTTCTTTCGCTTTTTGAAGCCTTCGTTTACGTTGTGTTGCAGTTTCTGTTTTATTTGTGTTTGTATTTTTTATATTTTTTTTACCATTTTGTTCCCACGAGTAATGGACATTTAAACGGTCGACCCCCCCAGAGGTCCAATAAAGGGGCAAGGCTATGTACAACAAGATGCGCCTGAGTCTTGAGGGGAAAACGCTAACGACATATCATTTTTATCCACCCTAATGCCATACAGTTCTCGGCGCGTTTTAACCTTTCACCTTAACTTGGGTGGTGTACCGCTAACGACGTATCATTTTTAGCCACCCTAACGCCACACAGTCCTCAACACGATACAAAATCTTGACTTGGGTGGTGGATTCAGGCTGGATTAATCAGATACCTAAATTACAGATTCAATTTCTAAATTTAAATCTTATTATTATACGCCATTTAGTGGCTGCGCCCATCTTAAATTTTGAGGTTGTATAGTGCACTGTGTTCTTCTTGTCAAGCCCTTTTATTTGATACCCATATTGGTGGGATTGATAAAAAATTATTATCAGCCATTTGGTAGCGGCGGCCATCTTAGATTTCAATAAATAGTATAGTAAATTGTATTCATATAGCATAATAAATTGTATTCTACTTGTTGAGACCTTTCATTTGATACCCATATTGATGGGATTGATAAAACCTACGTTATCCGCCATTTTGTAGCGGCCGCCATCTTGGATTTCAATTTTTTATAGTATATTGTATTTTGCTTGTTGAGCCCTTTCATTTGATACCCATATTGATGGGATTAATAAAATATAAATTATCCGCCATTTTGTAGCGGCGACCATCTTGAATTTATAATGATAATGAATAAACATAATTGTATTGTCACCAAAATCCAAAGTGTATACAAAATTTCAGATTAATCGGTTGACAGGAAGAGGGTGAAATTTGAATTACTAAATTTGACCTAAGAATAAAACAAACGGGGTGAGCTAAATAAAACCGTTTAAATAAAACCGTTTAAATAAAAAACCGTTTAAAAACGGCACTCCAAAACTTTAATGTTTTGTTGAATTTTAGCTGAAACTGCAAAAATACAATATACATTTATTCAGTAGTTATATTTTACTAATTATGTCGATTAAATAAAACATTACTTTAGAAAAAAAACGTGTTAAAGAACACTTATCCTTTATTGGCTGCCTTTTCGGAGCATATGCGAACTGGCTAAAACAAAGTATTTTCTAGAAAATGCCATTGTAGAACTTAATTGTTTACTAAAAAATGAAGAAATGCCATCAAATAATAATAAAAAGTTTGGTATTTTGTTTGGCAAATGTCTTTATATTTTAGTATAAATGCAAGAGGGCTGATCATTGTGGGGGGCCAACATTAGTATAAGTTCCCCTACAAAACTATAGGTTTCAAAACTTATTTTCTGTCGCCTCTACCATCGAATCATAAATACTTACTTTTATTAAAACCTTTATGCAACAGTTTGCAAGAACTGGCCAGACAGGCCGTTACCACGCCTGCCTTGCGCGAAACGTCATGCGCAGTGCAAACAAACATCGAAATACGCCGAAACAAAGCTAACGAGAATCTGTTCGTATTTTTCGAAGCTCGTAAAATATGTCTCTCCTACCATTACTTATGGAACTGGAGCGTCCACGGCGCCTCCAAGACCAACACTTCGCCTTAGCCTTAACTCCTGAGGATGTGTTGACAATCGTTGCGCCCCAATATTCCAGGGACTACTACCGGCCATGGAAGCATATGTCATCCGCTTTGCGCGACTCAGGATCGACAATAAAAGCCGACAAGGAGAAGTTCCAAGTTAATTTGGATGTGCAGCATTTCGCTCCAGAAGAGATCTCCGTGAAGACCACTGATGGGTTCTTGGTGGTTGAAGGTCGGCATGAGGAGAAGCAGGATGAGCACGGTTATGTGACTCGTCAGTTCAAAAGACGTTACCAGATGCCCGAGGGGTGTAATCTTGACGCTGTTCAGTCGCGGCTGTCTTCGGATGGAGTGCTGACGGTAACGGCGCCCCTGGCTCGCCCCGCTGTCAACGAGCGAGTGGTGCCTATCATTCAAACGGGCCCAGTGAGGACGCAGCCAGAAGGGGTGAAGGAAGCCGGCGGCGGAGAATGTGCCGATAGTCCAGTCGAGAACGGCCAATAAAACCAAATGCAGCGGGCGTCGCGCCAGCAGTATTTTTATCGGATATACTGTACTTCCAGGGCCCAAAAGTAAAAACTTCACAGTTTTGTTGGTTGTAATTTCGCATTTTTGTTGTTAAAAAGGTTTCTGTTAACCACATTATTAAAAAAAATGTCACACTTATGCGCTGGTAGTTTTTTAGAAAAAAATATTGAAAATTTTTACTTTTCTTATCAAGTGATACTTCACACTAGGTTAGGTTAGGTTAGTGTTGTGACCATAACGCGCGAGCCGAGCGAGCAAAGCGAGCGTGCCGCGGCAGCGGCCGGCGAAGCGCCAGAAAAAAAAATCTGTTAAAAAGACATTTTCTACAAAAAAAAAAACAAGTGTCACCTTTTGGGCCCTGGAAGTACAGTTTTACCTTTTTATCTTATCGCAGTTTGTTTTGATTGAAAATTGGCCGTCTGTGTCCATTAGGTAAAAAGTGGTACTTGTGTGGTTTGTTTTTCTTTATTTTACATTCCAATGTGCATTATTTCATTTTATATTGGTTGATTAAACTTACTGTGTAGTGTACTGGTGTTTTTTTTTGTAATCTTATCGGCACTTATCTGCGGAATATTTCCATATTTTAGCAAACAAATCATTTGTTTATCAAATATATTTTCCTTTCGCCGAGATCTCTGATCCGATTTACGTGATAAGTAGATCCCATTTGGTTCCATAACAAAAATAACTCTGTTGATCCCGGTAGCTTCTAATCTATTATATTTTTTTTATATAATTTTTCACGATAGGTACTTTGTTTATTCATATCGATTACGTAAAGATCTCTGAGCATGCTCTAAGTACTAATTATAGTAATTTTGTATGTGTAGGTACTTTACACTAACGTTAATGAAATTAAAAACATTTAAACTTCAAAATCGAAAATGGATAAAAGCAAAAAATTATATATGGTTCATACGAAATTGGGCAGTATAATTTGGAAGGTCAGACGGGGTTAATATTAAAAAAATATATGAACCAATGAAAGGACCACAGTACCTGACTATGTATCTCTATAAATATTTACTTTGTTTCATCTTATCATGTTGGAATAACACGTTTTTCATATCATAATAAATAAAAACACACTTTTGTGGCTTAAAACAATGTTTATTTATAAATCACGAAACTTAGGCGGTTACGAAATAATTATAGCACAATAATTACAATCAGTCTCAAAAGGAAAATACATATTTACAATTAATGAAGAAACTTCACTTAAGATTCTGCCGGTTTGGTTTCGATGCTTGGTGATCCCAGTTGCTTTTTCACAGGTCCTGTGTGAGTGATGGGCACGATTTTCTCACCGGTAGAAGGCATAGCCAGGACTTTGGGTGCGGTGACTGTTAGAACGCCATCAGAAGATAGCTTCGACTCCACAGTATCTGGTAAACATCCTTGCGGTAGCGAGTACCTCCTTACAAACTGGCGAGCAACGTAGCCGTGTTCGTCTAGCTTCTCTTCGTGCTTCCCGCTCACTACCACATGTCCGTTAAGAACTTTCACGTCTATTTCCTCGGGAGCGAAATGCTGGACGTCCACGTTTACTTGGAATTTCTCTTCATCAGCTGTGATGTTCGAGCCGATGTCCTGCAAAGCCAGCTGGTTCATCGCTGAAGACAACTGCTCCATAGGCCTCATCACGTTTTCCCATGTTCGAAACGCGGCGTTCCATGGCCTGAAAAGCTGTTCTGGATTGAAAAAGTCGCGCTGTGCCACCTGGTATGGCGAATATCTGAAGAAGTCATCCGGTCTGAAGAATTCTCGCTCCATCATCCGGAGCGGCCTCTCGAGATCGTATAGATACGGAATCATCGACATCTCGCTTGAATAGTAAGAAAACGTTTTATCACTTTCTTCGCTGTGTTTTTGACAAGTTTTTAAGAGTGTACAATACTGCCGGAACAGCTGATCCGCCCGCTTATATATAGCCGGCGATGACGGCGCCACCTATGGAACACGTCGAGAATGACATTATGTCCATTCTAGAATTTGCTGGTTTAGCGCCGCTTGTAGTAGGTGTTTCTGGAATATATTTCTTAGCAAGTAGCGACATCTAGTATGCAGAGGAAGAACAGTTAGATACTTGTGTGCGCCATCTAGCGTGGAGTAGATACTTACGTATTTATTTTTAGCCAATTCATTACAGACTTAAATGTTTGTTTATTTCTGTTTAACTATTAATGTACAGTTAGTTACATATTTTAAAATGCATGAATGGTGGTAAAATAAAATGTTTGAGTAGTAGCAATTTACGACAAGCTAGTTCGTATATTAGACACCTACAATATTCGAACTAGCTTGTCGTAAATTGCAGCTATCAACTGCATATTAATACCATAGAGTACATTGTTATATATAGATTAATACCTAGGTATAATATCAACAATGAAATCGCATTTCATTTTATTCTAGTCATAATTATATTGAAACATGAGTGGATGATAAAGACATTTCGGACTCGCAAACGTTACGAATTCGATATTAGTTCGTGCTAAAGGTTCACATTGCCCTAACTAATTTTTAATTCTGTAAAAGAGTAGATTATCAAACGACGCTAAATGGCGAAGGACTGACTGGTAATGTCAAATGTTGTAGGTATTGATAGATATGATTAAATTGACAAATAATGTATTGCCCGTGTGCTAATTAACTATGATGTTATTTTAAGAAATATTGTTTCAATGTTTTTCTGCCCTTGTAATGTTACATTGAATGTCAAAGTAAACACGCGGTTCGTTACTTGAATATAATTAATAAATTTTGATAATATTATATTTATTTTGTCAATTAGTTGGTTACCGTTTTAATTAAGCAATCAGTCGCTTAATGTCCAAAATTAGAGGTCTTTAGTTCTGCTAAAGATTAATTTTACATATTTATTGTACGTATTTATTGTATGTATTTATTGTATGTGTGAGATTACACATTTACCACTTTGGATGTCTCTCTCGCGCAAACTATTCAATTTAGAAAAAAATGATATGAGAAACCTCAATATTATTTTTAAAGACCTATCCATAGATAACCTACACGTATGGGTTTGATGAAAAATTTTTTTTGATATTTTTTCCCAAAAATTTTTGTTTTTTTCTATTTTTGTGTAAACATCTTAATGCGGTTCACAGAATACATCTACTTACCAAGTTTCAACAGTATAGTTCTTATAGTTTCGGAAAAAAGTGGCTGTGACATACGGACGGACAGACAGACAGACATGACGAATCCATAAGGGTTCAGTTTTGCCATTTGGCTACGGAACTCTATAACATTTCTGCTCTAAAGTACATTAATTACTCAAGGAAATTTTCCTGGTACTTCTATAATCATTCTTCTATCAGACTATTTCAAATCTCATAGTACTCGATGAGTTTACTAAGTAAGTACTAATGTGCATGAAATTAAACATCGATAATAAGACATGACCGTAGACAGTATCTTCAAATACATAGTATAATTATCATTTAAATAAACATTAAACTGATAGTGAGCATGAACTCTGATGAATGATATATTATACAGTATAATGTTATTGTATGTATGATGTTGTGTATTGTTTATGATAACTATCAACGAAATAGAAAACAACATTATTAAAGTTATAATTTTTATTATTTTAAAGTATATAACTGCTTCATGTTTAAATCTAAAGAAAATGTAACTAGAAAAATTTCACGCGGAGCAGGCAGCAGACGGGACTCGAACCCGCACCCTTCGCAATCCGGGCGAATGCACTGACCAATTATGCTACCGCGGCCCTCACGGACCGCGTCGAAATTCTTCTAGCCATTCTTAAGCTGCAAGGCAGCGCCATCTCTTCGCATTATAGGTAACCCACAATGTCAAATGAATACTTTTACAAGTATTAAACATTTGAAAGAAGAAATAGCAATTATAGTTATAATTTTTGTAGTCCCGTCTGCTGCCTAGTCCGCGTGGAATTTTTCTAGTTTTTTTTAGATTTTTTTTCTAGAATTTTTTAGTTTTTCTACTAAATTGGGAAAAATGTATTACGTTTAAAATTGACACAGTAGGGGGAAGAATTGATCAAAATCCTTTCTTAGCGGATGCCTACGTCATAACATCTACCTGCATGCCAAATTTCAGCCCGATCCGTCCAGTGGTTTGGGCTGTGCGTTGATAGATCACTATGTCAGTCAGTCACCTTTGAGTTTTATATATATGTATAGATATATATGTACATATACATATTTAATTTACTAACTATAAGAGGAAGGGAGAAAGAAAATGTGCGCGCATACTGCTTTCTCCTGCTTATATCCCACACTCAATTCCCGTTCGCTTCGCCCGAACACACTTTTCGTAACGCGTAACGGATTCGCCATCTTACCCCCCAAGTCAAGCGTGCGTAAAGAAGTTTCACATCAAAAAAATATTAAATAGTTACATATATTTTTCCCAAATCACATCACCAGCCTATTAATGTCCCCACTGCTGGGGCACAGGCCTTCCTTATGGATGGAATGGGGAGATTGGGCCATGATCCTGACCCACCACGCGGGCCCTGTGCGGATTGGTAGGTGCTAACGACTGCACATGCAGCAGGGACCAACGGCTTAAAGTGCCTTCCGAAGCACTCGAACTCGAGCTAGTAAATTTTTGGTCACCCATCCAATGACCGACCACTGCGAAATTTGCTTAACTTAAACGATCGCAGCCGAACGCGCAGCCCACTTACGCCATTGAACTCCTCCCAAATAAATAGTTAAAATTAAACTGCAGTTACATCACTCTGTATATGACAACTTATTATTAACAAATACAATGTTCTCAGTTTATACGGGTGGGTGACTTGACCACTGCAGTGCGTGACCGACGGACGTACCTACGTACGATACGAACATAGATACAGTAGTACAGTACTCTTAAGTGATAACGATGGACAGACCCTGGACCGTCGCTCTCATATTTACATTGCTATGGATGCAGTAAGTTATTAATTACTTAAAACTAGTTTTTTACGGGTTAATGCACGAAACTTTATTTATTTATTGACGTTTCGTAGCCTGTAAAGGGTCGTCAGAATCAAATTTTGTCGAGCTACCTTCGAAAGACTTTTTATTGAGCGTTCGGTTATTTCATTGTTCGTATTTTAAAATTTTTATTGTCTATGTATGAATTTATTACTTAATTTAGTTAATAAAGTACTTTATTTAAAATTCTTTTTGTAATTTTGAGTTTATTTATTTGACCCTAACTACCGTAAAGTACCAAAACGTCAATAAATAAATAAAGTTTCGTGCATTAACCCGTAAAAAACTAGTTTTATTTAATGAGTGATGTGCGTGAAAACCTAAGAAACAAATTTATTAATTACTATTATTATCATATACTTATTAAAATGGTTGATTAGTGCACTTCTTTCGGACTGTCAGAGCTGCCAACCGTAGACTTTTTTTTATTTTATTTTTTTTTATTTGGGAAACATACAGTTTACACAATCCAATTAAAAACACTTATTACTTTTTCATAAACCAGTTAAGTTTTCACAGAGTGAAATATTTATACACTTACGTAGGTAATTTACTTAAAATTACGTACAATATTTAGAGTTATGTGAATAGAATAAATATGAAAATCAAAATTTCTCGTATCTATGCAGCTAAAAATCTCGTAATCCGGCTTTCGAATGTCGTACATGCCCCCCCCCCCCTCTAGAATTTATAGTCCAGCGGGTCAACTAACCATAGATTGTAAACAAATGTTTTTCCAATAAAATTTTCTTTATATTCAAACCTCTAGCTTAAAATAAAAATTATAATAAACAGAGATTGGTTTGGACACTTACGGTTTATGCTCCAACATGTTGCCTCATGTTATAAATTTATCCGACAACATTTCGTACATATGAGTAGTATTCTCGTATCTTGTACGGAAGACCAAAAAATCTCGTATTTGTACGAGAATTCTCGTACGGTTGGCAGCCCTGCTCTCAGAAAATTTAACTATGTGCAATTGCGCACTGGAGCTCTACTCTCTTTCTCCGAAACGAAATTTCGGCAACGAACGAATTTTAAACAAAATTTCGCCAGTGACTACTCTATTTCATCTTCGAACACGCACATAAAGTTCGAAATCACAGACAATTATCGTGAACGAATGAGTCATGTTTGTGAGTTCTTTTTGTCTACACTTTTTAGATAACGTTTTTTACTTCAAAACAATATTACTTTATGACAACATTTTTGATTACATTAAAACAACCTCTTTTAGCAGTGTTAGCCGACTTATTTGTAGAGTTGATGCAATCGAATGTATGTCAACGTAAATTTGTCGTGTAACACTTTGAAATATTGACAATACAATAATAAACAAAAATTAGATTTATTTGTAAATCTTTCATACTAAAACATGTTCCTCACGCTTAGCAGCCTTAATTAAAAATACTGTAGTAGTAATTTTAGGTTTAATTTAAACAAAAATCCCAAAACGAAAATGAAAAGGTAACACTTTTCATTTCGTCAATTTGACGTTAAAATTTCGAACAATTATCTGTAAAACTTTTAGCGAATTTAAATGTCAACTATTTTCAGACGAACGAATTTTCGAAATGAAATAGAAACAGAGTAAGGGAACGTGCGAAATTACGGTCGAAATTTCGTTTTTCGTTGAAATAGAATAGGCCTCCTGTTCTTTTAAGCAAACACCTTTAAAAAGGAATACACTTTTAACACGAAACTTTTCTGTTTATTGATTGTTGCTTCGATCAGACTTACCTACAATCTAAGGTAGGATAACTGTACAATAAATACAATAAAATGAGGAGAGCGTGGAATTATAAAGCTGAGTACGGACAACGCGTCCATTTCCAGGGCACGTGTCATCATCATCATCATCAGCCTATCTATTAACCATAAACTTGACGACATGGCCGAGTGGCTTGTTCCCCTGGGTTTCATGGTTTCGCCGACTCGAGAGGTCCCGGGTTCGAATCCCGGTGGGGGCAGATGTTTGTGTGATGAATACGAGCATTTGTACTCCAGTCATGGATGTTTAATATGTATTTCTATATAAATATACTTATATATATACGTTAACCTAGCATCCCATAACACAAGCCTTATAGTGCTGACTTTGGGGCTAGGGTAATTGGTGTGAGTGTTGGAAATATTTATTTATTTTATTTATTAATGCCTTCCCTATGGATGGAACAGGGAGATTAGGTCATGACCCACCACGCAGGCCCAGTGCACATTGGCGGGTGCTAACGACTGTAGATGCAGCCGGGACCAAGGGCTTAACGTGCCTTCCGAACACGATGAAGCTCGAGATAGTAAATTTTTTGGTCACCCATCCAATGACCGACCACTGCGAAAGTTGCATAACTTCAACGATCGCAGCCGAACGCGCTAACCACTTGCGCCATCGAGCTCCTCTACGACGAGGGCACGTGTAGTCGGCCCTAAACGCGCTATTCATAGGCACTCATGGCCAGGGCCCGATCTAGAAATTTTGCCCCTCCGGGCAAAAATTTTTGCCGCCCTTTAGTGACTTACTTTACGGCTGACCTTAAATCAATTTTGCCGTCCCTAATTTTTGCCGCTCTGGGCAAATGCCCGGCTTGAGCCCCCTCCTTGGATCGATGCCTGCTTTTGGCAACTCTTGGAAGGTATACACCTCAGACTTCTTGAGCATCGACCATATTATTATATAAGGCAGCCTGCGCAGTAGCAATTTTAGATACAAAAACATCTGTTGCGCTGGTATATTTGTCTGTTGTTTTGCTTAAGAAGTTTTCAGCTTGAAGTTTGCTTCGCTTTCGGAACTCTAAATAGTGAAGTAAAACTATTTTAAAGAAAAGTTTACTAGAAAAAATCCACGCGGACCAGTGGGCCAATCGCCTAACCAGATTGCTTTGGAAAACGCTATCGCTTACGATTTCATTTTGTTATTTCTAACCGCCGAAGGTTTTCAAATACCTCACGCTCATTTTCTTTAACATTGTTATTACCAATGCAAAAGAAAAAAAAAGAGCGCGAGGCATTTGAAAACCTCTGGCGGCTAGAAATAACAAAATGAAATCGTAAGCGATAGCGTTTTCCAAAGCAATCCAGTTAGGCGATTGGTCCCCAGGCAGCGGACGGGACTCGAACCCGCATCCTTCGCTATCCGGGCGAATGCACTGACCATTATGCTACCACGGCCCTATTAGCCGCGTCGAAATTTTCCTAGCCTTAAGCTGCAAGGCAGCGCCATCTCTTCGCATTGTAGGTAACCCACATTTTTTTTCTAGTAAACTTTTTTTTAGATTTAAACATCTAGCAGTTAAATGCTTAAAAAATAAATAAAATTAAAACTATTTTTTTATTAGATGAAGTGACACGTTTTAAAAATAAGAAGACATAACTATTATTACAGTCATACATTATTTATAACTTGTTTTGATTGGCAATACGTACCCTCACATTAGTTTTGTTGTTGTAGGAATATTTGTCGTTTATGGCTGATGTCACCTTTCTATATATCTTTATATATATAATTCTTCTGTGAGTGTGTATGTCACTGAACTTCTCTTAAACGACTGGACCGATTTTGATGAAATTTTTTGTGTGTGTTCAAGGGGATCTGAGAATGGTTTAGATTCACAATTTTGTCCGCTGGACAACCCCTATTTTTTTAGGGCGGTACGAAGTTCGCTGGGTCAGCTAGTCTTTATATATATAATTCTTCTGTGAGTGTGTATGTCACTGAACTTCTCTTAAACGACTGGACCGATTTTGATGAAATTTTTTGTGTGTGTTCAAGGGGATCTGAGAATGGTTTAGATTCACAATTTTGTCCGCTGGACAACCCCTATTTTTTTAGGGCGGTACGAAGTTCGCTGGAACAGCTAGTAGTTATATATTCTTTAAAATGAAAATTACCAAATCGAATTAGGTAACATTTTTTTTTTAAATGTTCTGTTAAGCTTTTTATCTATTTTACATACCTACTTAACACCACGGGTCAAAGACCGATAATGACCAAGGCCAACCGAAAATGCTAAGACCTACTGGATACCCTAATTCTCAAAACTTTAGCACGAATAGAACTTTAGCACGAATAAACAAACATATACAGGGCGTTTCACGGATTTGTCACACGGAGGGAAAGTATATTAAATATTGAAATTTATATTAAAATTAAATTAAAATGAAAGAAGACATCATTTTATTTTTAATAATAACTAGAACTGCATTCGCAGTTTTTTAACCGCCTTCTACAACTGGGTTTCATACTCGTGAAATTTGAAAAAAAAACACGACGTATATTAGGATAGCCATCGAAAGGGTTAATCATAAGTATTAGTTTTTCCTAAATAACATAGCACTTTAAATGAAAGGAAGATCATGAAATAAAAATTTTGTTTAGGATCATTTCCTCTTACTGTTTCGTGCTTCCATGCTTCCAATAGCTAATGAAAAGAAGATCATGAATTTTATCTTTTGAAAAAAGGTCTCTTAATTTGACAACTGATGTTATCATTTCAAAGTATTAACTAACTACTAGCAAACCTGTGAACCAAATGTTCACCAAAAAAAAAGAAAAAAAAAAGTATTTAATTAATTGAGAACTTCGGAGATTTTGTGTGGTTTCGTTTGAAATAGAAATCACGTGATTTCTCGAAAACCGATTTGACCGAACCTTTGACAATTCGTATCTTTTGAAGTACTCACTTTATTTGGTAATTGGTGGTTAGGTAACTGTTTACCTGTTGTTTAACTGTTTAGGTAACTGTCTAGAAAAGCAAGAAATAGTAGCGTTTTTATAACTTTGCTTCCTTTTAAGGGTAATAGCAGAAAACTAGCAAACCAGTGAACCAAATGTTCACCAAAAACTTCGGAGATTTTGTGTGGTTTCGTTTGAAATAGAAATCACGTGATTTCTCGAAAACCGGAAGTGCTACGTTACTCACATCCGGTTTGTAGTCTTATCAGACTATTCTTAACTTATAACTTAAACATTCTCTATATCTATCTCTTACGGTTTGGCCGCTGAAACAGCACCACGGACGGACGGACCGACTTGTCTATTAGATAAGAGATTATCGGCTCACTTAATAATACTGAATTTCCCTACTATAAGTACCTACGTGAAAAAAAAAACGATACTTATACAAACCTTGCATTCATTGTAGTTTGTGTTCAAATATAAAAAAAGTCAAATTTCGTGATGCTTTTCTACTTGTTATTAAAAATAAAATGATGTCTTTCTTTTAGTAAAATATCCTATCTTCAATATCTATCTATCTATATATATAAAACTCAAAGGTGACTGACTGACGTAGTGATCTATCAACGCACAGCCCAAACCACTGGACGGATCGGGCTGAAATTTGGCATGCAGGTAGATGTTATGAAGGAGGCATCCACTAAGAAAGGATTTTGATCAATTCTAGCCCCAAGGGGATAAAATAGGGAATGACAGTTTGTATGAAACTTTGTCAATTCTAAACCGATCGGGCTGAGACTTTGTATAAGAAGAATCATAGATGAATGAATCATTGTGTATAATACAAGCCTGAGAACAAAAACTGTAGTCCCAAACTCTACACCCAACCGAAGCGAGGGCGGGCCGCTAGTTGAATATAAGTACTTTCCCTCCGTGTGACTCACCCGTGGGACGTCCTGTATACTTACATCACGCCAACTTCTAGTCCGCTCTGAATTTACTTCGCGCAGGATTACAGTCGTATATAGATCGAGCCAATCTTCTATTCCGCCGTCAGTAGTGATGTAAAATGACAGAAAACAACATTGATTATATGCATGCTTGCGTTGCATTATCTAACCTTTAAAATAGTTTGCCAAAAAATTGCTTAGATGGAGCGTGCGATCGCAAATACGTTTATGAAACTTGGTGTCTAAGTAATAAAGTTTCTTTTTGTTTGTGTAATATAACTTAAATTAAATAGTATATGAATGTTTCAGTAATGACTGTTTAAACGTAAAGCACGTTTTATTTATTCTTTTATTAAGCTATTATTTATTTTTGCGATTTAAATTTAAGTATAAAATATATAATTTTGACCCAGAGAGTTGAATTTTATAAATATATATTTGATAAATAAATGTTTTATTAAGATACCTATAGATATTTTAAAGATATGGCAAAGGAGATTGCTCAAATTGGCCTAAATGCACAAAAAATATTGACATACACGGTAATTCTTGGCGTAATTTATAATTTAATTTACAGTCATTAGATTTCAACGGACACCTTTGTATAATATATTTACTTTAAAAAGGACTTTTAATTTTACCGGTTTGGAAAACATACGAATCATTTTTAATGGCTATGGGTGTAGTAACAATTTTTTTTATTACACTGTGGCATTAATATCCACAACTATATTATCATTTTCACTAGATGCAAATGTGCTCAGACAATTATTATAGATGGTAGGCGACATCATAAAGTCTATTATAAGCCATACATTTTTCGCCAAACACATATTATAATCTGTATATATGTTAGACTTTAAGGTATCTATCTATGGGCCTACGTTCCCTGACTATAAATTAATAAATAAATAAAATTATAAGGTGTGATACACTAAAAATCTAAAATATGGTTATCTTAAAAACATAACAAAAATAATGAAGCTACTGAATATATGGCTATAGAACCTAAATCTCTTAGCTTTCTTTGGTTAACGAGAGTTTAAAAATTCTCTCTAATCTGTGGCTCATTCACAATCATCACACAGTTTCTGTCACAGAGTACCTTATTGTAACCGGAAATGACACCTGATTTTAAAAGTTACTCTTATGCATTACCTTTAAAAACAGGCAACTATCTGTTAATCTACATGCTCTATATACCTGAATCTAATCCATAATTTCGGTACTTGGCTTGATTTCCCTAGTTTACTATATAAGTTATATATATATATATATATATATATATATATATATATATATATATATATATATATATATATATATTTGTTTTTTATTATTTTAATATGTTCAGTGTATATGGTTTATAGAAGTTCTCAGGGGTGGCCGTCAATAATATTCGTTTCTACAGTAATTTATATATAATTTCGAATCTAGGAAACAATTTTTCATGGTTATTGGTCTTTAGGCCAAATATGTATGGAAGCTGAGCAATCTCCTTTTCCACATATTGCTTTAAAAAAATACATTATTCAGATGCGCTCTGTTAACTTCGTTAACATTTCAAACAAATATAAACTAAACGGGGATTTCGGGTATTTTTCTGTGCTTGTGAAATAAACATGCTTCAGAAAAAAACACTTTTCGTAAACTTTTTTTTCACGATAGATAGAAAATAAAAACGGTTTTTGCACCTCTAGTCCGCAGTAAGTAACAAAAACGTATTTTAAATATAGTTTAATGAAGATATTTCTTGTAGTTTTCATACATTTTATATGGACTCGCCACACACGGTACGCCGGTGGCCGCCACACGCTACAAATCGTCGGTGCTCGCTTCTTGTGGCCCGCACCGGCCACTTAATGCGCCGATACAAAACGCCGCCACACGTCACTCGCGTGATTCCCCACCCCTCTCTCCCTCACCTTAGTCGGCCGCTGTCGCGCGGTTCAGCCACTTTAGTAGCCGTTTCTAGCTTCTCGTGGCGGCGTTTGTGGCTGTGGCGTGTGGCCCGTGTGCGGCGTCACTAAGAGTCACAAAAAGTAGAAGTTAATATCTTAATGATGAGTAAAACATAAAAATAAATTTACAATAAAGAGACATCTTGAAGTGAACGCTCTCTTAATAATTTATATTATATAATACGATAACAGTGATGTAAGAATGTATTATCATCAGAAACGATTTAATTATGGTCGGACCGCTTATCGTGTCAACTAATACCTATTCCTCGGGTCCAACACTATTCAGGACTTTATTTTATTGACATTTAAGTTTGTATTTATTTACACAAAAATATCTCAGTCTTTTTAGTTACTATAAACAAATGCTCATGTGCATGTGGACATTGGTACATGCTATTAGTTAGATAAATACAAATAAGCGCGAATTTGATGAATTACAACATAATAATGTCTTTGTTTTGCGTCGAAGTAATGCCAGGTAGGGCTGCCATCTTTAAAATGTGGCAACCAGGCCAAGACGCGTGATAACACCGGATTTTGGAGCCCAGAACCCGGACAGACCAATAAAAAAAACAGTTAAAAATGTCACATATCAACTTTTTTTTATGTTGATGTAAGCAAAAGAGCTAGCCGTCCACCTCATAATAAGTGGTCACGGCTGTCCATGGACACTTGCAGCACCAAGGGCCACTCATGCGTTGCCGGCTCTGAACGAAAAGGTTCATCCGCCTTTTTAAGATTACCATATCATAGCTATAGGAAAAAAATACTTAGGAAAGTTCGTTCCAGATCTTGCTGGTACGCAAAAGAAAGGAACACATGGTGCTCGAACGCCAGGCGTCCAGATGGCGGGCGTTAAACTTCTCTGCGGTGTGTGGTGCTGTGGAGAAACTTTGCCACTGGCATCCGGGTGAATAATTCGTCGGAACACTCCATTGTATAGACGGTACAACACGTATAAGGAGTTGCGTTCTTGTGCGTGTTGTACCGTATGCGCATGCTAAGGGGTTGCAACGCGTGAGTGAGCTCAGGTTCATCGATAAGTCAAACCGCCCGTTTTGTATCCGGTCAAGAGGAAGGAGCTGGTATCGGGGTGCTCCAGCCCGGAGGACCAGTGCTTTGTAAAGTAACACACGATATTTAGGTACTTACTAGATCTATTAAGCACCCAAGCTTTTTCACACACACTTGTGTCTTTGCTGGGTTAATCCAATCAAATTATGGTGGCTCCAATTTGAGACTTGATCCAGTAACATCTCAATCTCGGACACAAGTCTGTCTTTATACCCTTCTTCTTCCATCCGAGGGATGTTTGACCGACCAGTGTAAAATGTGTTAGTGCTGTCATCCACATAGCAACGAATGCAGTTACTGCGTTCAGCGTGAGCGACAGAGCTGATCTTTGAAAGAGAAAAGATTTATTTATTTTCAAAGACATTTAAATTGACGGATTTATTGGCGACCCAAAACAGGATTTTTTTTAAACCCGGACTACAAATGAAACCCCGCCCGGGGAAACCAGGACGGATGGCAGCCCTATGCCAGGGTAACATCGGGGCACTGGTCAGGGAACTTTAGACGATGGGCTATTAATACTACTTGTATCTTATCTCTTGCAAATACCAAACCTTCAAGACCCTTCTCTTACAATCCCGTATAGAATTTATCTCATGTAACTTATTAAATTGATTGTTTATTGTTCACAGAGTTAACTGCACTACAGGAACCACGTCGAAACTTTGCTTCCCAAGTAGTTTTATGTTTGGCGTCGCAACTGCATCATATCAAATCGAAGGGGCGTGGAATGTATCTGGTCAGTTTAAATGGCATAGAATTAGTTTTATTTATAAGTGTAAATTACAAAAATGAAACACTTACACATGCATACATATAAAAACACAAACAAACACATACACATACACATACACATACACATACACATACACATACACATACACATACACATACACATACACATACACATACACATACACATACACATACACATACACATACACATACACATACACATACACATACACATACACATACACATACACATACACATACACATACACATACACATACACACACACATACACACACACACACATATACAATGGCGCGCGCGCATTGCCACATCTCGCCCTTGTTTGGTACAGGGTTTTTCTAAACTATTATGCTATAATAAAAAAATGAAAATCCGTAATTGGCATTAAGATAAAGTATATTGTAAAACCTGTATTATATTAAGAAAATGCTGTGGATTTTGGTCTAGAATTAAATAAATAAATAATTTTATTCAATCCCAGTTTAAATGTGAAACTAAAGTTTTAAATATACCCTATTTTTAGACTTAGCTTCGTGCAAAATATTTGAAGTTTCACACGGTTCTTTCCAAAAAAAAAACAGAGACGTAGGCATTCGCAAAAAAATATAAAAACTATTTGAAAACTCCGCTTACGATGTAGAGAACCGCGACATACGGACAGGCAGACGACAGTGTGATAGCAATAGGGTTCTGTTTCTACCGTTAAGGTACGGAATCCTAAAATTTAACAATTAACTATTTTCTTTAGGAGCTCGATGGCGCAGGTGGTTAGCGCGTTCGGCTGCGATCATTGTAGTTAAGCAACTTCCGCAGTGGTCGGTCATTGGATGGGTGACCAAAAAATTTCTATCTTGAGTTCCTCCGTGCTTCGGAAGGCACGTTAACCGTTGGTCCCGGTTGCATCTGCAGTCGTTAGCACCCGCCAATCCGCAATGGGCCCGCGTGGTGGGACATGGCCCAATCTCCCTATCCCATCCATAGGGAAGGCCTGTGCCCCAGCAGTGGGGACATTAAGAGGCTGATAATGATGATTTTCTTTAAGGGTGGCTGCCTCCATACAAACTCGAAACATCTTTCAGCGTAATCCTTCCAATGGCCTTCTAGCCTAGTCGGTAGTGACCCTGCCTGCTAAGTGGAGGTCCCGGGTTCGAATCCTGGTCAGGGAATTCATTTGTGCACATATCACAGATGTTTGTTCCTGAGTTATGGATATTTATATGTATTTAAGTATTTATATGTATTATATATATCGTCGCCTAGTACCCATAATTCAAGCCTTGTTGAGCTTACCGTGGGACTAGGTCGATTTGTGTAAGATTGTCCTATAATATTTATTTATTTATTTAATGGTTTGAGCTGTGCGTTAAAAGATGACTCAGTAACTGTTGCAGGAATAATTCTTTAGACATAATCTCTTTAATCCGTGGCATGAATGAATAAGACCTTTAACAAACGCCAACTATCCCAGGTAAAGGCGAGAACATATGGGACAGGTACACGCATACCCGGCCGGAACGCATCTTCGACCACGGCACGGGAGACGTGGCCGCTGACTCCTACCACCAGTTCCGGCAGGATGTGAGGCTGCTGAAGGAGCTGGGCGTGCGCTTCTACCGGTTCTCTATGTCCTGGTCCCGCATACTGCCTACAGGACTCACCAAGTAAATTTACACTGATTACAGAATTTATCATAGTATTTGAAACCGCAAAATGTACTCAATTGGCGACCTTTTAATGTTATAGCAGGGGAGCCTAAGCGGGGATTTTTGGATTAGTCGAGCGTGGCAGAATAACATAAGGGGAGCAACCTTGCACCTAGTTAAGTGCTCCCACCACACTTGAGCCCTCTATGTAGGGCCGAACCTCTAGGGCAGCAAAAACAAAATTCAACAAACGGCCATGACTTTTGGTCGGGTCCAAATCGTCAGTCTTATGAACAGTGGCGGCGCTAGGCGTCGGCGACGTCGGCCACCGCCGACGGCCTCGCGCCTGAGGGGGCCTCGCAAAAAATTTTTACAAGTTACCTATTTATTTTCGTTTTTCCTGGCCTGGCTTAGGTAGCCGACCCCGAACAATTCGGGGAAAATGCTAAGCAGATGATAATGACTTTCATTAATTTCGCACACGTGCGTGATGGAAGCGAGTAGTACTTTACGCGTATTCAGAATCGTCTGTCTGGCAACACTATTTTTGTAAAAAAAAAAAAAAAATCTATGTTCGTAATTATTTTTTGTCATCATTTGATTATCAACAATAAAACTCGTTTACTCATACGTTATTTTATAATTTGGCTCACTTAATTTATCGGTTTTTTACTGCGAAGTAAAATAGGCCTCGCGAACATGATGTCGCCGCGACGTCCACATGTGGTCTAGCGCCGCCACTGCTTATGAATAGGAGCTACTGGAGGGTTCACGTAATATCCCTTCTCAATGTCTGACGCGCTCGGTTATTTTTTCCTATAATCTACCCCTTCGTACGGCCACCCCCATATCATGCAAACCGCGGCAGATCAATATTTTTTCCGTTCTTAGAAACGTTACATGAACCCTCTAGTAGCTTATATTCAAAAGACTGACGATTTGGGCGAGACCAAAAGTCATTTTTGCTGCCCTAGACGTTCGGTCCTACAGAGATGGCTCAGGTATGGTGGGAGTACTTAACTACGTGCAAGGTTGCTCCCCATATGTTATTCTGCCGCGCTCGAGTAACTCCTAAAATCCCCGCTTGGGCTCCCCTAATATTAATAACTAGCAAACCAGTGAAACAAATGTTCACCAAAACCTGATTTCTCGAAAACCGGAAGTGCTACGTTACTCAAATCCGGTTTGTAGTCTTATCAGTATTCTTAACTTATAACTTAAATATTCTCTTTATCTATCTCTTACGGTTTGGCCGCTGAAACAGCACCACAGACTGACGGACTTGTCTAATAGATAAGAGATGATAGGCACTACCGGTTTTCAACTACTCAGAAGTCCTGGGTTCTAATCACGGTGTGGGGAAAATGTTTGTATGATGATAACGAATATTTTTATTACCTGATTTGTGGCTTTTTAATATACTTATTTCTAGAAAACTATAGTTCTAATTAGTCTTGTACCAATATAAGCACTTTAAGGTTTGTGTAGAAGGACCGGTGTGGTCGTCATAGTCCGAAGACTTAGCACGCTGAAATGGCAATGGGCAGGCCACACATCGCTCGAGGATCTGACAACCGTTGGGTAAGAAAGGTCCTCGAGTGGCGACCACGTACCGGACGACGCAGCGTGGGGCGGCCCCCAACAAGGTGGACTGACGACATCGTCAAATGTGCTGGGAGCCGCTGGATGTGGATAGCGCAGGACCGCGTTGTGTATTGTGGCGTTCTATGGGGGAGGCCTATGTCCAGCAGTGGACGGAGAAAGGCTGATGGATGGATGACGGTTTGTGTTACGGGATGCTAGGGTATTAGGCAGCGGCAGCCGTAATGGATACATTATAAATTATCTTTATAAACAGCCACTAAACAAACATATAGGACCTCTGAGTAGGTGACACCATAAAAACCAGTGTTAGTACATTACATACAACACACACAACGGCGCGGGGCGGTCTTAAAAAAAATACAGTGATTATGAAGTTTCAATATGTAATTATTCCAGCTCTCTGAACTTGAAAACACAAAAATTTAAAGAAACTTTTACTGGAAAAAATCAACTAGCAGTAACTATATGCTTAAAAACTATAATAAACACAATAGTTTAGATCAAATCCAATAGAAAGTTGCAGTGTGTAACTCGATGTACCATTAATTTCAGTGAAGTGAATCCTGACGGCATCAGATACTACAAGGAGCTGATCGAGGAGCTCCACAAGAACGGTATCGAGCCACTGGTGACCATGTACCACTGGGACCTGCCGCAGCCGCTGCAAGACCTGGGCGGCTGGACCAACCCCGTCATCGCCGACTATTTCGTGGACTATGCGAAGGTATCTATATATATAAAACTCAAAGGTGACTCTCTGACATAGTGATCTATCAACGCACAGCCCAAACGACTGGACGGATCGGGCTGAAATTTGGCATGCAGGTAGATGTTTTGACGTAGGCATCCGCTAAGAAAGGATTTTGATCAATTCAAAGCCACTAGTTATCTTTAAAATACAAACCTAGATTATTATAATCATGTTTATTGACATATTATTTTATTTTTATTGACATATTTATTTATTTTAATTATTGAAAAATTTAATTTTATAAACGAATTTCCATAGTAATAATTACAAAATTAAACTACTACTGTAAATAGGATCAATTGAGTAAATTATAAAATTAATGGATTCAGATGACATTTATGCATGCTTTGAGAAATAATGTTGTTTAATACAAATTAGGTTCTTCATAAAGATAATTGTTTATTTAGTAAATTCTCTTTTGTATTTTTTGTCTATATTGCGATACCCTGACAGGGTTCATGTTAGGTAGGTACTTCATGCATTTTGTAACTTGTAACCATCTATGTAACCACATGAGTGCAATAAATTGAATTGAATTGAAATTGAAATATTGCGATGCCTATAGATCAGCAATTTTCGAAAACTGCCATTCCTTATTCAACTTTGTACTGGTGACCATCACTTTGTACTACTGGGATTTGCCGTAACCACTGCAAGACCTGAGTGGCTGGACCAACCCCGTCATCGCTGTATGCTTCTTGAATTACGCAAATGTATTCGAGGCTGGAAATCGGCACAACAGCTTAACTATGTTGTACTTCCATAGGTACACTTATTCAACATTTTAGTAAACTTGGCTAGTTATGTTACAATTCGTATGCAAAATCATCTAATGTAATGTTATCTTATCCCTTGGTAGCATTAGAGATAACATTTCACATGTAAGACGGATGCTAGGAGGAAAACAAATTGAACTGCTGAATACATGTTTTTCCTAAATAGCTCCATCTAGCGACCGGACGTGACGACGTGTGTCCGAAAAGCGAACTACATTTGTCAAGCAAACCGACCATTGTCGCAGCTACCGCAGGAAGGGACGAGATGGCGCTGTATATCACTTTAAAAGCAAATCCACGAACTTGGAGGATTATTTTTCTTGGCCAATCCCTCTAGCATGACCACCGAAACGGAATATGATAAAGCGATAAATCGGCATTAACTGTCAGACTACAGTGGAGTTGGACGTAGTCTGACAGTGAATGCCGATATATAAATTCAAAGATAGTATAAAAAAGCACTTATTAAAAAGCTTATTACAAAGTGTCTGATTACATTACAGACAAAAATTCTTGGCTTTGAATTGAACTGTTCCAATCATTCCAACAGGTTTTCTATATTAAACAAATCATGATTGTATTGACATTGTAACAACATGATGATTTGTAAATGTTGTTACATTATACTTTTAATATTGTGGAGTTTTTTTCGCTCGTTTTTCTCCGCAGCTAAAAAATATGTCCAATAACGAGTAGGGAAAAAAATGTTTGGACGATTCAAAAGTGTTGTACCAATTTGAATAAGGATTTATATTGATTTCTGATTTGATCGCTTTATCATATCCCTTTTCGGTGGTCATGCTAGAGGGGCAGAAATCCTCTCCCTTTCAATCAACTTCTCTTTAAAGATGATATTATATATTCAAAAAATTTGAAACCGAACTTGAGAGTAAAAATACATTTAGTTATTTATTGGAGCACTCTCGCTTGATTTCCTCCAAAGAAGAAGTCGCTTTATTTCCTTCAAAAGAACAAAAATATACACATGTAATCTTCATCATTATGCCAGCCGTAAATGCTCACAGCATAGGCCTTCCCTCAGGTTAGGATCTACATTTGCAGATGTCATGCGCTTTTTGTATCCAGCGGCTTCTAAGGCCCTTTTCTAGATCGTCCGTCCACCTCGTGGTGGGCCTCCCCACAGTGCGTCGTTCGGTCGCCATTAAAGAACCTTTATGTTGTATGCATATATACAGATTGTAAAAAAACCTATGACAACCCCTAGCACGAACCAATATAGAATTCGAATAGTCCGAAACGTCATTGTCAAATTTTGTATGGAAACTTGAACGGCAGTGCCACAACGGAAGTAACTAGAACTAAAAATAAGTTGTATTTTTTCGAATTCGATATTGGTTCGTGCTAGGGGTACGCATATAGTTTATGACCTGGATTGCGACATAGGTTACTTTTGATCCAGGAAAAATTAGGTTCAAAAAACAAGAGTTAATGCGGACAAAGTCGCGGGCGCGTTACGTATATTATATAGAAAGAAGAAAGAAATAATTTTATTAGCCTTAAGTAATAATAGGATTTCACAAAACAAAAGCACTAACAGAAAAAAAGGCCAACTAGATCCCTGCCTCATCATAATGCCACAGCGACGCCAGGGCCGCTGCAGCGCTGTTACTCTGGCAGGGCCTAAGGTTGACGAAACTAATAACTAAATATATTAAACAATTAAAAAAATAGTATACCTATATGATCACAATGAATTATTTTTTTAGTAGGTAGGTACTTCAGTGATTAGATAAAATGTTTGTTTAAGTATTATATCCGAAGGAAATAACTTTGAAGGGGACCAAATATATATTCATAAAGAAATATTATAATTTTGAAAATATGTACACATTTTTTGAACAAGCCTCGTACTTACTGGGAAACGGTTTTGTAATTAATCTAGTATGAACTTCCTACAATATTCTTCCTTACAGTGTATCAAGAAACTACAATTTTATAATAAATAAAATTAGATCTTAAGTACTCAGAATTTGAATACTTCGCCATTCAATTGCAGGTTCTTCTGGACAACTTCGGTGACCGCGTGAAATTCTGGTTGACCTTCAACGAGCCGTTAAGCTTCTGCCACGACGGGTACGGCGGCAGCGACGCCCCCGGTGACCGCGCCACCGGCATGGAGGACTACCTGTGCGGACACACGGTGCTGCGCGCGCACGCCGCCGTCTACCGCATGTTCCAGCGCGACTACAATCACCGCATCACCGGTTAGTGCTACCCGTACTGTGAGCCAACTCATAGAACACTACCTGTGCGGCCTCACCAGTGAGCGCTGCCCGTACTCTGAGCCAGCTTATAGAACACTACCTGTGCGGCCTCACCAGTATGTGACTAGTACCGTCGCTTCACCAGTGAGTGCCGCTCGTCCTGTGAGCCATCTCATAGAACACTACCTGTGTGGCTTCACCAGTAAGTGACTACAACCGCCGCCTCAGCAGTGAGTGCCGCTCGTACTATGAGCCATCTCATAGAACACTACCTGTGTGGCTTCACCAGTAAGTGACTACAACCGCCGCCTCAGCAGTGAGTGCCGCTCGTACTATGAGCCATCTCATAGAACACTACCTGTGTGGCTTCACCAGTAAGTGACTACAACCGCCGCCTCAGCAGTGGGTGCCGCTCGTACTGTGAGCCATCTCATAGAACACTACCTGTGTGGCTTCACCAGTAAGTGACTACAACCGCCGCCTCACCAGTGAGTACTGCCCGTACTGTGAGCAAGCTCATAGAACACTACCTGAGCATCCTCACCAGTCTACTACAGTCAACTACACGCGCCGCCTCACCAGTGAGTGCCGCCGATACTGTGAGCCAGCGCATGAAGGACTATCAAACCGTGAAACCCTTAAAAAAGATAACTAATACAACAAAATATTTACATGCCACAAGAACCACCTTCACCTTACTGCAACTCACCATTTAGAACACTGTTACCCGGGCTGCCTTAGCCTTCTGAAAACTTATCATCCGCACTACTTCACACAGGCAACTGCAAGTGATTTACGACGCTGCACAGCGTTTTAAATGGTCGGTGTAGACTGGAAGCCACAGGTGGACCACAAGCATAATATGTTTAAGTTAGAAATGAAGAGAATTTCCCGGTCTCTGGTAACTTGTCTGCAAAGAGATTTAAGTGGTACGTAAATGTATTTAGTTAAGAACTGTAATGTTTCAGATCTCATGGGCATCACGCTGGACATGGCTTGGATCGAGCCTGCGTCTACCTCTGCAGAGGACAAGGAGGCTGCTGAGATCACACGACAATTCTTTGTTAGTACCTCTACCGATATTAAAACCAAATAATCTTTATTTACCTTTGTACATCGCTTGAATGTCTTGTAAAGTCCTTGAAAGCCTGTTAAATCTTTCATACGGGGCCAGAACTTAGAAGAAAACAAATTTCTGTTTCGGCGTCCGTTATAAGGAAATGCATATTAGGTACTTAGTTCATCAACAACTTATTCGTAGTAGATGGGTATAAATTGGGGTAGCAAAACGTATCACTATTGATAGCGAGCAACAAAAAACTTATGTAATATATCAGATGTGGTATCTTTGAGGTACATAGCTGCTGTAAGACCTTTGTTGCTACTTTCAGTTACTGATGTTTACGAATTTATTACAAGATTTTCTCCATTAATTTATATGTGTCTAAAACTATACCTATGTATTCTGAAGCTTAACGGAGATTTTATATTATTATTTCAGTTCGGCTGGTTCGCGCATCCGATCTTCTCCAAACAAGGCGACTACCCACCCGTCATGCGCAAACGCATCGACGAAATGTCCAAACGGCAGAATTTCACGCGCTCCCGCCTGCCTCACTTCACTAAGGAAGAAGTGGAGATGCTCCGGGGCGCCTGCGACTTCCTGGGCCTCAACCATTATACCACATACTTGGCTAAGAGAGTTCAACGACCGCTCAGTCCGATCCCGTCGTTCGACGATGACATGGGCGTACAGCTGTCGCAGAAGGCGGATTGGCCTAAATCTAACTCTACGTGGTTAAAGGTTAGTTGTTTTTTGCCCCTCAGCGATCTCCTACATATAAATACCTCTACTCCTCAATAACAAAAACGCCATCTCATCCTGTCGAGCGTCTCTCCAATTTTTCACCTAGAGCTCGCACAAGTCCCTCATGATTTGGTCCATGGAGTACCTGTGCTATTCTGTGCCAGGAATATATGTCTTTCTTCCTGTCTGTTACCTCTTCACGCTGAAACTACTGAATCGATTGAGTTGAAATTTGGCATGAATATATGTTATAATTTTTATTATTTTTAAAGCATGTAACTGCTTGATGTTTAAATCTAAAGAAAATATAACTAGAAAAATTTCCACGCGGACCAGGCAGCAGACGGGACTCGAACCCGCACCCTTCGCAATCCGGGCGAATGCACTGACCAATTATGCTACCGCGGCCCTCACGGACCGCGTCGAAATTCTTTCTAGCTATTCTTAAGCTGCAAGGCAGCGCCATCTCTTCGCATTATAGGTAAACCCACAATGTCAAATGAATACTTTTACAAGTATTAAACATTTGAAAGAAGAAATAGCAATTATAGTTATAATTTTTATTATTTTTAAAGCATGTAACTGCTTGATGTTTAAATCTAAAGAAAATATAACTAGAAAAAATTCCACGCGGACCAGGCAGCAGACGGGACTCGAACCCGCACCCTTCGCAATCCGGGCGAATGCACTGACCAATTATGCTACCGCGGCCCTCACGGACCGCGTCGAAATTCTTTCTAGCTATTCTTAAGCTGCAAGGCAGCGCCATCTCTTCGCATTATAGGTAAACCCACAATGTCAAATGAATACTTTTACAAGTATTAAACATTTGAAAGAAGAAATAGCAATTATAGTTATAATTTTTATTATTTTTAAAGCATGTAACTGCTTGATGTTTAAATCTAAAGAAAATATAACTAGAAAAAATTCCACGCGGACCAGGCAGCAGACGGGACTCGAACCCGCACCCTTCGCAATCCGGGCGAATGCACTGACCAATTATGCTACCGCGGCCCTCACGGACCGCGTCGAAATTCTTTCTAGCTATTCTTAAGCTGCAAGGCAGCGCCATCTCTTCGCATTATAGGTAAACCCACAATGTCAAATGAATACTTTTACAAGTATTAAACATTTGAAAGAAGAAATAGCAATTATAGTTATAATTTTTATTATTTTTAAAGCATGTAACTGCTTGATGTTTAAATCTAAAGAAAATATAACTAGAAAAAATTCCACGCGGACCAGGCAGCAGACGGGACTCGAACCCGCACCCTTCGCAATCCGGGCGAATGCACTGACCAATTATGCTACCGCGGCCCTCACGGACCGCGTCGAAATTCTTTCTAGCTATTCTTAAGCTGCAAGGCAGTGCCATCTCTTCGCATTATAGGTAAACCCACAATGTCAAATGAATACTTTTACAAGTATTAAACATTTGAAAGAAGAAATAGCAATTATAGTTACAATTTTTATTATTTTTAAAGCATGTAACTGCTTGATGTTTAAATCTAAAGAAAATATAACTAGAAAAAATTCCACGCGGACCAGGCAGCAGACGGGACTCGAACCCGCACCCTTCGCAATCCGGGCGAATGCACTGACCAATTATGCTACCGCGGCCCTCACGGACCGCGTCGAAATTCTTTCTAGCTATTCTTAAGCTGCAAGGCAGCGCCATCTCTTCGCATTATAGGTAAACCCACAATGTCAAATGAATACTTTTACAAGTATTAAACATTTGAAAGAAGAAATAGCAATTATAGTTATAATTTTTATTATTTTTAAAGCATGTAACTGCTTGATGTTTAAATCTAAAAAAATATTTCTTCTTTCAAATGTTTAATACTTGTAAAAGTATTCATTTGACATTGTGGGTTTACCTATAATGCGAAGAGATGGCGCTGCCTTGCAGCTTAAGAATAGCTAGAAAGAATTTCGACGCGGTCCGTGAGGGCCGCGGTAGCATAATTGGTCAGTGCATTCGCCCGGATTGCGAAGGGTGCGGGTTCGAGTCCCGTCTGCTGCCTGGTCCGCGTGGAATTTTTTCTAGTTATATTTTCTTTAGATTTAAACATCAAGCAGTTACATGCTTTAAAAATAATAAAAATTATAACTATAATTGCTATTTCTTCTTTCAAATGTTTAATACTTGTAAAAGTATTCATTTGACATTGTGGGTTTACCTATAATGCGAAGAGATGGCGCTGCCTTGCAGCTTAAGAATAGCTAGAAAGAATTTCGACGCGGTCCGTGAGGGCCGCGGTAGCATAATTGGTCAGTGCATTCGCCCGGATTGCGAAGGGTGCGGGTTCGAGTCCCGTCTGCTGCCTGGTCCGCGTGGAATTTTTTCTAGTTATATTTTCTTTAGATTTAAACATCAAGCAGTTACATGCTTTAAAAATAATAAAAATTATAACTATAATTGCTATTTCTTCTTTCAAATGTTTAATACTTGTAAAAGTATTCATTTGACATTGTGGGTTTACCTATAATGCGAAGAGATGGCGCTGCCTTGCAGCTTAAGAATAGCTAGAAAGAATTTCGACGCGGTCCGTGAGGGCCGCGGTAGCATAATTGGTCAGTGCATTCGCCCGGATTGCGAAGGGTGCGGGTTCGAGTCCCGTCTGCTGCCTGGTCCGCGTGGATTTTTTTCTAGTTATATTTTCTTTAGATTTAAACATCAAGCAGTTACATGCTTTAAAAATAATAAAAATTATAACTATAATTGCTATTTCTTCTTTCAAATGTTTAATACTTGTAAAAGTATTCATTTGACATTGTGGGTTTACCTATAATGCGAAGAGATGGCGCTGCCTTGCAGCTTAAGAATAGCTAGAAAGAATTTCGACGCGGTCCGTGAGGGCCGCGGTAGCATAATTGGTCAGTGCATTCGCCCGGATTGCGAAGGGTGAGGGTTCGAGTCCCGTCTGCTGCCTGGTCCGCGTGGAATTTTTTCTAGTTATATTTTCTTTAGATTTAAACATCAAGCAGTTACATGCTTTAAAAATAATAAAAATTATAACTATAATTGCTATTTCTTCTTTCAAATGTTTAATACTTGTAAAAGTATTCATTTGACATTGTGGGTTTACCTATAATGCGAAGAGATGGCGCTGCCTTGCAGCTTAAGAATAGCTAGAAAGAATTTCGACGCGGTCCGTGAGGGCCGCGGTAGCATAATTGGTCAGTGCATTCGCCCGGATTGCGAAGGGTGCGGGTTCGAGTCCCGTCTGCTGCCTGGTCCGCGTGGAATTTTTTCTAGTTATATTTTCTTTAGATGAATATATGTTGTTTGTTTGAGGAGCTCGATGGCGCGGGTGCTTAGCGCGTTCGGCTGCGATCGTTGAAGTTAAGCAACTTTCGCAGTGGTCGGTCATTGGATGGGTGACCAAAAATCTTCTATCTCGAGTTCCTCCGTGCTTCGGAGGGCACGTTAAGCCGTTGGTCCCGGCTGCATCTGCAGTCGTTAGCATCCGCCAATACGCACTGGGCCCGCGTGGTGGGTCAACGCCCAATCTCTTATTCCACCCATAGGGACGGCCTGTGCCCCAGCAGTTAATTAAGGGACATTAATAGGCTGATGATGATATGTTGTTCCAGTTCCAGGAAAGGAAATAAGATAGTTCTAATATTAAATATCTTCTTTTATGAGGGTAAAAAAGGGGAAGGGAAGTTTATATGGGAAACCAAGTAAGAAAGATTTTCGTTTGAGCTTGATTACGCATTGGCCTTGGCTTTATCAGTAGTCGTTAGAATCTACCGCCCTTCTCCCTATTCCATCCATAGAGGTGTGACATTAAGGCGTTTAGCAGACGACGGGGCGGGGCGGGCCGGTCAATTTCGCCGCGAATAATAGCACAAAGTGAATCCTATACTTCAAACGCACACAGAGGGCAAAAAGACCGCGCCGCAGGTGCCCGGCGGGCACTGGCTGCGCGGCATGTCCGCGGCTGCCCGCCGTGGATCATACAAACCAGTTTATATGCAGTAACGCGGACGGCGGCGCGGGGCGGTTAGCTCAGTCCGCGCCACGCGCTTGTAGAACGAACGTTCTGAACTGACCGCCTCTGCCCGTCGTGTGCTTTGTGTACGCGGCGCGGGCAGCCGCAGACATCGACGGGCAGACGCGGTCTTTATTGCTTCGCGGTCAAAATGCCCGCCCCGCCCCGTCGTCTGCTCAACGCCTTAGAATATGAGTCACAGAATGAATGGTTTTATTTATCGATTTAATATCACACGCAGGTGGTCCCTTGGGGTCTTAGGAAGACACTCAACTGGATCAAGGGCACGTATGGTAATCCTCCAGTGTTCATCACCGAAAACGGGATATCACTGGAGCCGGGCCTGCGCGACCCGCGACGGATCAACTATATCGATGGGTGAGTGGGATCTCTTATCTATTAGACAAGTCCGTCCGTCTGTGGTGCTGTTTCAGCGGCCAAACCGTAAGAGATAGATAAAGAGAATATTTAAGTTATAAGTTAAGAATAGTCTGATAAGACTACAAACCGGATTTGAGTAACGTAGCACTTCCGGTATTCGAGAAATCACGAATTTCAAACGAAACCACACAAAATCTCCGAAGTTCTCAATTAATTAAATACATTTTTTTTTAAATCAGGTTTTGGTGAACATTTGGTTCACTGGTTTGCTAGTTTACTCTAATAATAAATACTGTCCCCGTAGCATGAGCATCACAATTTACATTCATCAAATTCAAATTCAAATGATTTATTGTGAAATGTAGGTTAGTACAGCAATTTGGTGTTAGGTAAAAAGTTTAGTGTCACTACATTTCGACGTTATTACAAAGTATACAATATTTTTTAAGTAATAATCAGGTTTACAATTATATAAAAATCAAAATTTTTATATTACAAATACAATCAAACAAGTCATAGTTAGAAATAAATGTCAAACTGTCAAAATCCATAGTAATTTGACAATTGAGCGTGTTAAAAACGCGTTGTATATCATATCGCGGTACTCATGCCAGTGTGGCTGGAATAGATAGACTAGTAATAGCTTCATTTTTCGTTCAAACTCAAATACATTTATAAAACATGTAGTATGCAATACTTGTATCAAACTTGTTGGAGAAACAAAATATCTGAAGTAAATGAATGATATATACCTACTTGTCAAGATACTAGTAAGAGTAAGCAATGACAATGTCAATTTTTATTATGGAAACTGGAACAGCAGCGCCACAAAGTACGAAACGAGAATTAAAAATCAGTACACATTTGACAATGACATTTCGAACTCGCAAACGTTACGAATTCGATATTGGTTCGTGCTTGAGGTACAGTACCCTTAGCAACTAGCGAGAAAGTAACGCCATCGTCAAAGATTTCATGGACGAATCTACTTTGTTTTAACACGCGGTGCAGGGCGCTGTTGAGTTTTCCATGGAAACTTTGACGATACGAATACAGACCTGTCAAAGTTTGTGCTTGGGGTGGGCACTGATCACAGAACACAGAAAGAGGTTAGGAGGGTGATCATACACCGTGTGTACCTATGGGAACCGATGTCGCCGGCTCACCCCCACTACACTTCCACCTAATAGATAATATAGCCAATCAAACGACGCGACATCAAACAATCGAACCAATCAGCGCTCACAGCCAAGAGCAACGACGGAATCAGAACTAAGTTTTAGTCAAGTTATTAGCATTTGCTCACACATAACTGTGGCGTGCCTGCTCCGCCCACAAGGCCCTTCTAACCTCTTTCTGTGTTCTGTTGTATTGATGAATGGCTACATCGCCATTTTGGCCCTGATTGTAAGATAAAGTGTTGTGACTTTCTCAGTGCTGTCTTTGACCTATTGTAGGCCCTGGGCATATTAGGATAATGGGGCCCCTATTACTCTCGTTTGGTGATATAACAGGAACTAGGGACTTTGTATTTGATCTGGGGGGGGGCCCTATCGATCGCGGGGCCCTGGGCACTTGCCCAAAGTGCCCACTGGGAAAGAGGGGCCTATACTTTCTGTTGAAATAAGTTTACACTGGGGGCCACAGCACAAAATAAAAAGAGCCGCTTTACTAACTTCGTGGTAACTTATTCTCAGATACTTGAGAGCTCTCCACGCGGCTCTGACTAAAGACAAGTGCAACGTGTACGGATACACGTACTGGAGTCTTATAGACAACTTCGAATGGACCAGGGGTTATTCGTGAGTATTCACTATTTCATAATTTTGATCATCAGATCACCAGATATTAATGTCCCCACTGCTGGGGCACAGGGCTTCCTTATGGATGGAATAGGCAGATTGGGACATGACCCACCAAGCGGGCCCAGTGCGGATTAGTGGGTTCTAACGACTGGAGATGCAGCCGGGAACAACCGCTTTAACATGCCTCCCGAAGCACGAAGGAGCTCGAGATAGTAAATTTTTGATCACCCATCCAATGACCGACCACTGCGAAAGTTGCTTAACTTTAACAATCGCAGCCGAAAGCGCTAACCACTTACGCCATCGAGCTCCTCATTCATTTTAGTTATAATAAATCCTCATCCATTTTTGGGGCTCCACCTGAACAACGAATCCGGAACCTCAGAAGCTTCTAGCTACTAGAAAGCTTTTATTCCAATATACAATATTAGAGCTCTATGGCACAAGTTGTTAGTGCTATCGAATCTGCAATCGTGGAACTTTCGTAATGGCCGGTTATCGAATGGGTGTCCAATTTTTTTTATTTTTTTGTAGATAGGTCCGACAAATAGCCACCCCACCTGATGTTAAGTGACGGTGAAGTCCAGACGTGAAGATAGCTGGTACAGCAGTTCTACCTGCCACACCAGCCATCCTCACCTTGCGGCCTGCATGTTGCTTCTTCTCGCCTCTTTTAAAGGATACCAGGTTTTAAGTCGAGCTTATCATGCTTCGGAAGGCAAGCTTAGCCGTTGGTCCCGGCTGCATCTGCAGTCGTTAGCACCCACTAATGCGCACTCAGCCAGCGTGGTGGGTCATAGCCATGAGTTATCAACCTCAACCTCTGTATTCCATAATTCCTGTGCACCAGCAGTGCGCAATTTTTTTTCTTGTATTTTATTAGATTGATAAACGATATCAAAGCTTGAAAATATCTAGTGTTACTGATTGATATTTAGACATTTTTTTTATATTTATATATATTTTCATCCCACCACCTCGGAAAGTGTAATTTTGCGCTTCGAAATCTGGCTGGAAAATTCTATTTTATTCGCTTGAGCGGCAAAGTAGATTTGAATTTAGAACATCACATATAATGAGTACTCAATATAATTGTAAATTCAAAACGTCATTAAACCTATTTAATGTAACCTCTATGGTGCCAAATTTATGATTAGAACTTTTTAAATTGTGAAAAAATTTAAATTTGGAACCTTCTTGGTTTCTTTGTTTTATTTGCGTGCTTCGCGCCATTCTAGTTTTTCACGTTTTATTGCTTAAATATTTTGTCATTATAAATTGTTTTCTTTTTCATTTTGTCATTTCCTCGCTGAGGTGGGATGAAAAGTTACGTATTGCACTCGAGTGGAAAGGTTTTTCACCTTGTGCTCGTTTGTTTCCCTCGCTGACGCTCAGGATTCTAATTTAGAATCACTCGCTGCGCTCGTGATTCAACTTTAGAATCCTTCGCTTGCTCGGTCATCCAAATCGAGCACGCGGTTAAAAAGGAACTTTCCACTCTTGTATAATAAATAACTATTATTCAGATAGCCAAATGACTCTACCCCACCTGATATTAAGTGGTGATAAAGTCCAAACGCGAAGATAGCTGGTACAGCAATAATAAACTGCCACACCAATCATCCTCACCTTGCCGGCCAGCAAAAATCCTTCTTCACGCCTCTCTTAAAGGACCCCAGATTGTAGGAAGGAGGTAACACGTGCGCGGGCAAAGAATTCCACTTGCGAATAGTACGACAAAGAAATGAGACACCTGATTTCTTTTTCCGTGTAGGAATAGTGGCCATTGTAAGTCGGTGGCAACGTAGGCCAGCGCGCGTGGTCCTCTGAAGAAAAGGTGATGGAGGGATAAGGGAGAATAACTCCTCAGAACACTCGCCGTGGTATAGTCGGTAGAATGCGCTTAATGATGCCACATCGCGGCGTAATTGTAGAGACTCGAGTTTCTTGGTTACCTCTTCATCGCCAATGATGCGGACAGCGCGCCGCTGCAACCTATCCAAGGCATCGAGTAAGTACTTAGCGGAGCCAACCCAGAGGTGCGAGCAATATTCCACGCAGGACTGCACTTGCATTTTGTACAACAAGCACAGTTGATCGGGCGTGAAAAAACGCCGCACCTTGTTCAGAACTCCGAGTTTGCGTGAAGCTGTTTTGTTCACGGTTTCGATGTAGTCCTTTGGATTCAGGTTCTCGCATAATATAAACCGATAATGTCACTTTTATTCTTTGTCCAACAGTGAGCGATTTGGCTTGTACGAAGTGGACTATTCTTCTAAACAACGCGTCCGTACCGCTCGCCAGTCCGCCGAATACTACTCAAGTGTCGCCACGACAAAGTGTCTGCCAGACAAGGTGTCAGGGTACAAACTGTAGTTATAGCACACTAGTCATACATACCATTATACATATCTCATTTTACACAAACATTATTATAAAATATTATAAATAACATTATTATGAAACGAATAAGGATATTTTATTTCAGAACAGAAACATTATTTTCACCCTTATTTCGGGGTATTTTAAGTGTCCAGCGCAAAGGGATTTAATACTCTTGATATAACAATACGAACAAAATCGTGGCCGAAACCTGTCCAAAAGGTACATTGGACGATCCACGGACCTCCGTAAGATGATCGTGTAGTCAAAAACAATATAATTTATTTATTTATTTATTTATAGGTACATCAACAGCATAACATACAAGACATTCGTAATATATAGAGGATAATTTTACTGTTTACATATGTTTGCCAATTAAAGATATACACAACATTTATACCATATCGTTTAACATTAATTAAAATGAAAGGAGAACAAGAACATTATCTTTAACAAATGCTGCTATTATTGATTTATTAAGGTTATTTTTATTAAGAACACACAAAAAAAAATTGTTAACTACGTCGAATACACACTGGGAGGCTGAAAGTGATGCAATAGTTTGTTTCTGAAAGTTCGAGTAGAATCGTTGAAAATGTCAATACTGGGTACCTTCATTAACATTTCGTTATACGCGTTGCATATCCTAGCTATGGGATAATGAATACCCAAGTTTGTTTTGTGACTTGGTATATTAAACATTTTGCGTACTTTATAGCGCGGGTATCTACAGGGTACTGCAATTCCAATTTCACCAAGAAGATGAATACTGTTGATGACATTATTAAGAATTTTATGTAGAAACAGTAAATCCGCTATCGTACGTCGATTTTTTAATGAAGTAACTTGGAAAAAATCAAGTCTCTCCTTGTATGGATGCCTGTGGGATATACCAGGTGTCAAAAAGGCAATATAACGAGTAAACGCTCGCTGTATAGATTCAATTCGTTGGGATGGCGCCGCGTATACGGGATTCCAAACCACGCTAGCAAACTCGAGATGACTACGCACAAGGGTATTAAAGAGTACTATCTTAGTTTTTACATTGCGAAATTCTTTTGCATTTCTCTTTAGAAAACCCAACATACGAGCGGCGTTATTCACTAGATTATTTATATGTGCCACAAAATTCAATTTATTGTCCAGCTTAACACCTAAGTCTCTGACCCCCGTGACCCTTGCCAAAGTTACGCCGGACAATGTGTATTTGGTATCAATAGGAAATCTCTTTCTAGTGAAACTGATGGAGCAGCATTTTGAGGGGTTTAGTAACATTCCGTTTTTATGGCACCAGACAGATATATTGTACAAATCTGATTGTAAGAGACGAGCATCTTCCGTGGATTCGATACATTTATAAATTTTAATATCATCTGCGAATATGGATAAACTGCTATAATTTATCACGGTTGCAATATCGTTGATAAATATTAGAAATAAGAGAGGTCCAAGGTGAGATCCTTGTGGAACACCCGATTCTGCCAAAAACACGTTGGACTCGAATCCATCCACAGTCACCGTTTGGGGCCTCTCTGATAAATACGATGCAAACCATTGCAACAATGATCCGCATAATCCCATGTTGTGAAGTATGGAAAGCAGCACTCCGTGATTGACTTTATCAAATGCACTTGAAAAATCTGTGTATACCGCATCTACTTGCAGGCCCCTATCCAAACTCTGCGATATAGACGAGATATATTTTACTAAGTTTGTCTCGACTGAACGACCACGCATGAAGCCGTGCTGGAAGTCTGTTAAAGTTTTTTCAATATGACCGTATATTAGAGGGTATATAAGGCTCTCGAAAAGCTTAGAGAGACACGATAATATAGATATTGGTCGGTAGTTGATGATGTTTGCCCTATCGTCCTTTTTATAAATTGGTACTATTCTAGCCTTTTTCCACTCCTCTGGAAACACCCCATCCCTCAAAGATCGATTAAATATTATTGTTAGTGGTCGTGCTAGAGCTGCGCCACATCTTTATCAATTTATTGCATTTGATGAGACGCGTTGCCAGTGAACGAATCGCTTTAGTTCAAAATTTACTTGAAATGCGTTAAATTAACAAATATTGATTAGATTGCTGTTGAAAAAACGACACTACGTACTATAAGTGTCGCCGCGCACGGGCCACACGCCAAAGCTTGTGGCGTGGATCTAACGGCATCTTCACTTTTCAACGGTCCGCGCATGACTGTTAACTACGAAGTGCAAGCACTTCTTAATTGGGACACGTTTTGAGCGCACGTGGTACGTGGCACGTTTTAGGGGTTTCAATATCATTGCTCCAGACAAAATACCTTCTCGACAAGGTATCCGGATACAAACTGTTGCTATAAAACACTAGTCTATTTAACAATACCAATAAAGATATAATTAAACCATAAAACCAAAATACTGAAAACTGAATCAAAAATAGGGGGGTTACAAATAAGTAATAAGTCACGACCTTCGTGGCCGAATGGTATGAAAACCGGGGTTCAAAGTGTCTCCTACTCGAGAATTCCCGGGTTCGAATCCCGGTGGTGACAGATTTTTGTGTGATGAACACGAGCATATGAACTTTAGTCATGGATTTTTAATAAGTATTTCTATATAAATATACTTATAAATTTATCAGTATATGTATACTTTCCGTTACCCCAGTATCCCATAACACAAGCCTTACAGTGCTTACTTTGGGGCTAGCCTAATTGGTGTGTGTTGGAAATAATAATAATAAGTGCCACTTTAAATTTCCTCAAAATATATTTCATATTCAAAATACATTCATGCAACCTTCACTTACAACTATCTACATTATTTGGAAGACTAAAATAATGTAAGGACACTTCTTACTATATTACACGTGTTGGAACAATTTTACAATAAGTAACTTTGATCTCAAAGTAAACTTAACATCAACTTTAAATAAATCTATATTAAAATAGTAACTATAGACGGTGAGCAATTTCAAAACATTCTAACTGAATCTACAGTAAAGTCGATAAATAACTCTTCCTCCTGTAAACTTAGATTAAAACAAAAAGGGTAGATACGGCACTAGCCTCATAAAAGTGTTCCGCACCAATTGTGGTCCACGACCCTAATCGCTTTAGTCACAACTTGATATGCAAACGACGTACATGTGAACGCCAAAAAGAAATATTGCTAATATTTTGTTTTTATATGATAAAACAATCCCTAAGTGCGTTTTTAAAAAGTGCTCAAATTGCTCAAGATCTAAAAATAAAACACACGGCATCACTTATCATTCGTAAGTACTATAAAATATTTTTTTCATAAAAATTGTTTTTTGTTTTGAATCTTATTCGGTAGTGACGTCGAGTACTGGTCGCCTGATTGGTCGGTAATGCAGTGACGCGGATCTCGCCGTCCCGTTCGCGCTGCCGTTGGAACTTAACGTGCTGTTTCGTTCGGGTCGGTAATGCAGTGACGCGGATCTCGCCGTCTCGTTCGCGCTGCCGTTGGAACTTAACGTGCTGTTTCGTTCGGGTCGGTAATGCAGTGACGCGGATCTCGCCGTCCCGTTCGCGCTGCCGTGGGATAGGTTTTTGTTTGATGCAAGTATGAGCGTACCGTATCTACCCTTTTTGTTTTAATCTAAGACTGTAAAGGACAAAATATATGTGTTCCCATCGATAATGAAAGGGATGGCAACAGTTTACAGTTGACCACTACAAACACGCTTCTTGAACAAGATAACATTTCACATATAATATTATACATAACTAAAATTATTGTCATCGCAATAATTGTTACTTAGTAAGTATCTCCGCACACGGGCCACCAACCACAACCACAAAACGCCGCCACCGGCATATTTCTTGTAGTTTTCATACATTTTATATGGTTTCGCCACACACGCTACGCCGGTTGCCGCCACACGCTACAAATCGTCGTTGCTCGCTTCTTGTGGCCCGCACCGGCCACTTAATGCGCCGATACAAAACGCCGCCACACGTAGGGTTACCAGATGATAAAATCAAAAGTCCGGAGAAAAAGCTTGATTTCCATTGAAAAATCCTGAGATTTTTTACAGTCTGAGAATTTTCTCTCAAACCGTATTTAACAATTTAATTAAGTCGTAATATTATCGTTTATACTCTGCTTATACTTTTAAATCAATATAATTTGGAGAGCTTAACATTTGGGGCATTATATGAATCCATAATTAAAGAAAAAAACCTTACTTAAAAATGTATCTTCACATATTAAGTATGATAAAACTAATTAAGTTAAAATTAACTTGGATAATAAAGTACTGATTTTAATTGTGCAATTATTACCAAAAGAAGATTATTTTTAGTTTGTTTAACTTTTTATTAAAGAGATCTTTAAAATGTAAGCTGTATTTTATTGGAAATTCAAAAAATCCTGAGAAATCACGAGATTAGCAAAATCCAGCCGCAATCCTGAGAAGAGTCCCGAAATCCTGAAATCTCAGGACAAATCCTGAGATATGGTAACCCTAGCCACATGTCACTCGCGCGATTCCCCACCCTTCTCTCCCTTACCTTTGTCGGCCGCTGTTGCGCGCTTCAGCCACTTTAGTAGCCGTTTCTAGCTTCTCGTGGCGGCGTTTGTGGCTGTGGCGTGTGGCCCGTGTGTGGCGACACTAAAATACCTTTGATTAATTAAGTGCTAATTAAAGTTGCGCTTACGCCTCATTTTCTTTAAAAACTATAAATTCGTAGGTTTATATAAATAAACAATCATCAATAGTAAAATTGTATTAATATCGTTCGTTTTAAGGCACTTTGTTTGCTATTCATGTTGTTACAATTGAACATAATATTCTGTGGTAACAAAATGGAAGGTTCTATCGTTTGTTGCGCCTTCATAATTTGTTAAAGCAAAATCTCAAAAAGGCAAGAACGTTGGAATATTGTATGTCTTTAGTTAAAATTCAATAATAGGTAAGAGAGAGAATATAGCTAGAGAAAATTCCACGCGGACCAGGCAGCAGACGGGACTCGAACCCGCACCCTTCGCTATCCGGGCGAATGCACTGATCATTATGCTACCGCGGCCCTGACGGCCGTGTCGAATTCTCTCTAGCCTTTCTTAAGCTGCAAGGCAGCGCCATCTCTTCGCATTGTAGGTAACTCACAATGTCAAATTAATTGAAAAAAAAAACAATAGTAGTGTTCAAATTTAAAATATTATACTATGCAATATGTTATATATTTTACAACATTCAACTATGCACAATACTCTTAACATGTAAGGAAAAATAATTAACTATATACAGAACTGTATTATTTTCATCCTATTTTTTTAAACAACGGAAATGTGTTGTTCTTTTTAAGGAAAAATAAAAGTTTTGTAACTCAAAAATATTTGAATAGAACTGTTTGCATCAATTCGCACATCATTGAATACAATAACCCTGTTATAATTGCAAACTAACATGATTTAGTTTTAAATAAATAGGCTATAATAATTATAATACCTTAATAATACAGAACTTACAATAGACTCAACAGTATGGAACATAGTATTTCTGACTTTAGCTATGCTGACTATAGAGGCAACAACTATGACTCAAATTATCAAATTTAAAATTGCCTTTAAGGGAAAATCAACCTTAAACCACAGCACTAAGAGCTATTTAACTGCAGTCATATGAATACAAGAGACAACAAAATTTAAAATTGCCTTTAAGGGAAAATCAACCTTAAGACACGGCACTAAGAGCTATTTAACTGAAGTCATATGAATACAGATTAATACAGTTTAAAAAATACTGACATATGAATCGATACTGAATTTGAAAATAATTTAACTGACCAACTTAATTTACAACTTGCTAAGTTATTACTATGCCTTCATATAGTAAGTTATACATTTTATATCATCATCATCATCAGCCTATTAATGTCCCCACTGCTGGGGCACAGGCCTTCCCTATGGATGGAATAGGGAGATTGGGCCATGATCCACCACGCGGGCCCAGTGTGGATTGGTGGGTGCTAACGATTGCAGATGCTTCCGGGACCAACGGCTTAACGTGCCTTCCGAAGCACGGAGGACCTCGAGATAGTAAATTTTCGGTCACCCATCCAATGACCGACCACTGCGAAAGTTGCTTAAATTCAACGATCGCAGCGGAACGCGCTAACCACTTGCGCCATCGAGCTCCTCAAGTGCTCCACATTTTTTATACCCAATTGTTATTACAAGTAAATATTCTGTGAAAGACATATTTTTTTTTACTTCAAAGATCGCTCGCTCATTCTTTAATACTGTTACATTGGATTACAATTAAGCTTTAAATAAGACACTGCGAGATGCTGAAGCGATTTAAAAATGCTATTAGAGCCGATTTTGGGCACAAAAAAGGGGGGCCTAGCCGACACCTTGAAATATCAAAAAGTTATATTCATATTATAACACAATCATTTCATTATGAAGACAGAATAGGGTTGATGACTATTTTTTTTTCTTCGTTTATCAGGTAGATTATCAAAAAGTATTGGACACTTATTTTTTCTTTTTTCACATAATATGAACATTGCAGAGATATAGTGATTTGAAAAGTCGCATGACGTCACGTTTGAGTACACTTTTAAGTGAAAATTCACTAAAAAGTTACGTCACGAGTCCCTACTCCCAAACTTTGACGCGCTATAACTTTGTCATTTGTTGGTTGATTGCCCAAAGAAAAAATACGTGTCCATTATTTTTTGATCATCTAACTGACAGACTAAATAGAATTTCGTTTACTATACCCCGTCATCACCCCTATTGCACAACGAATAAATTTCATTTAAAGTGAAAATTTTATTGGTCGTTTGATCGCCGCAAACTTCTTAAGCATCGACCGTAGACAAAAAAAAACCTGCGCAGGAGCAGTTTTAAATACTTAAACGTCTACTGCGCAAGTTTTTAGAATTTTATTCCCTTACGTAAACATTTATCATAAAGACAGATACAACCCAAAAAAAACACTTTCTAATACAGCCTCTTAAGGCAGACAATTTAAATTCCAAATTCGGTTGTCAGCTCCATTATCAGCGGTCGGGAATCGAACCCTAATCGTTTATGAACGGAACAATCACGATTGCGGCATTTTGCACTGGCTGCACGCCTCCATACCGTCGCTGAACTCTTCAATCTGCAGCGTCATCTCGAAGAAATTGTATTTCTCGTGAACCAATCGCGTGGCTTCTTCTAGAACCTTCTGGGGACTAACGCCGGACCCTGGGTTTGGTAAAATTACATATTAAAATCGCATATCATATCACGACCTCCACGGCCGAATGGTTAGTACGAAGGGTTTCAAGGTGTCGCCTACTAGAGATCCTGGGTTCGAATCCCGGTGGGGGCAGATGTTTGTGTGATAAATAGGGGTCATCCATAAATTACGTCACACGAATTTCATGATTTTTTGCCCCTCCCCCCGTCTTTGTCGTTGGTCACATTTGTGAGACTCCCCCCCTCCCTAGTGTGACGACACATATTTTTCAAATTAACACTTAGAAATTATTGAATGAAAAAAGCGGTTCCGAAATCAGTGTTATTTCCATTTAAATTGATTTTAAATAATATTAACATCAAATCAAACAATTAACAAAACAAAAATTAACGTTTATATTAATTAAAGAAATTAACAAAACAAAAAATATTAATAGCATTATAATTAATGAGTCTATGGACATATAACCCAGTCCTTTTAATTATTTATAACTGACAAAGCACCACTTTGTTCTTATTTGGGTTGTTAATGTTTTCGTAAAGTAATAGTTTCAACATTAGATTATAATAGATTATGATATGTGTCGTGACGAAATTTAGGACCCCTCCCCCTCGTCACACGATGTCACACTCCCCCCCCTTAACGTGTGACGTAATTTATGGATGGCCCCATACGAGCATTTGTACTACCACAGTCATGTTTAATATGTATTTCTATAGAAATATACTTTCAATCAATCAATCAAACAATGATATATATATTCACGAGAGTAAACGACATATATGATATAATATAAATTAATGAATCTAATTTAACGCCACTTATAACTAATTTGTGTGTCGCATCTGAAACGCATTAGCAGATTCAAATGAAACGAAATGAAAGTTTATTTGCATGAAACATAGTTTGTTACAGCTGGAAATTAATATAAAAAGTTCCATATGTTTCGCCCTTGGAAGAGCATACAAAATACTAATAAATTATCTAAAAAATCAAATTTAAATTGAGTAATGGTTGCATTTCAAATGTCAATTTAATAATCAAATGTCAATAAGATTGGCCAAAACTATAAATAACATGTCAATATGTACTTGCAATTCAATTATCAAATTTCAATAAATTTGCCATAACAATGAACATAGTAGAATAAAAATAAAATAAAATCACAATTTGTCAGTTAAAAAATCTGATACACTATAATAACATTTATCAATTAATAATTTCTTAATTTTCTGTTTAAACAGATTATAATTTAAATCTTTCCAAGATGTTGGGAGTTTATTATATATTCGAGGAGCCATACAGAATATATTTTTACCCATTACAGCTCTTCTGGAGTTGGGCATGCAGTCTACTGTTATCACGTCTGTGGCGATCTAGTACATCTGCCATTTTTACGAATAGGTGCATGTTCTCTTTTACAAATATGAGGATTTCAAAAAGATACAAAGACGGAAGTGTTAGAATCTTATATTTTAAGAAGTAAGGTTTACAACTATCCGTAGTTTTTAAATCAAACATGGCTCTTATGCATCTTTTTTGCATTTTAAATGCTACATCTTTGTCAGTAGAATTCCCCTAAGAATTAAGAATTAAGTAGAATTCAAGATGGGACAGATGGAATATTAAGTAATAACTCCGATGAATTATGGCAAATTAATAGTTTTCACGTTTCCATGAATGTCGGTGATTTAATAGCGGAGCTAAGAACAAATAGTCCTCCTCTTTTACCGAACAAAACGGAACTGCGTAATACTGTGGCGTGACCGTTTACGTTTACGATACGGTTCTTTTGTATTCAAATATGATTTGCATGTAAACTTTGATTTCAAGCGCGTATTAACAAATATTTCAAAAGCTACACATCAGGACCTCACTCTACAGTGGCGCCATCACAACGGTAGCCTTCATTGCGCCATAACCTATCTATCTTTATATATATAATTCTTCTGTGAGTGTGTATGTCACTGAACTTCTCTTAAACGACTGGACCGATTTTGATGAAATTTTTTGTGTGTGTTCAAGGGGATCTGAGAATGGTTTAGATTCACAATTTTGTCCGCTGGACAACCCCTATTTTTTTAGGGCGGTACGAAGTTCGCTGGGTCAGCTAGTCTATCTATATAAAACTCAAAGACTGACTGACATAGTGATCTATCAACGCACAGCCCAAACCACTGGACGGATCGGGCTGAAATTTGGCATGCAGGTAGATGTTATGACGTAGGCATCCGCTAAGAAAGGATTTTGATCAATTCTACCCCCAAGGGGATAAAATAGGGATTGAAAGTTTGTATGAAATTTTGTCAATTTTAAACCGATCGGGCTGAGACTTTGCATGCAGGTATAAGAAGAATCATAGATGAATGTCATTGTGTATACTGCAAGCCTGAGAACAAAAACAGTAGTCTACACTTCAGCTCTACACCGAAGCAAAGCGAGGGCGGGCCGCTAGTTCTTAATAAAATTTTAGGTCCTTTCATATGAAATTAGCGTTTTTTCGTACTGACCACTCTGATCTGAAATATCACCTCTTTGGTTAAGAATTCCAAAATTCTAATTTATAAATTAATTTAACTGGTACATTTGAGGTTTTTTCAACAAACGGATCAATGAACTACCTATGAGATGGCAACATATAACGGTGCATACTTTGATTATTTAAATATATTTTACAAAAATTAATACTTTATATTTCTCCCGTAAAAAACGCCAATTTCATATGTAAGGACCTAAAATTATGATAGGGTAAGCTGATGATAATGTTAATTATACTGTTAAATACTCACGTATAGCCAGATGAGCTGATAGTGCGGTTTTGTCTAACGACAATGCCCACATTCTTAGATTGTGGATTCTCAGCACTCCCGGCAACGATAAGAATGTATTCGCCACGTCCTGTGTTTAGAAAGAAAAATATTTTGTAAAAACTATGTAAAGGGTATCGAGGAACTCGATGGCGGCAGTGGTAAGCGCGTTAGGCTGCTATCGTGTAAGTCAAGCAACTTTCGCAATGGTCAGTCACTGGATGGGTGACCAAAAATTTACTATCTCGAGTTCCTCCGTGCTTCGGATGGCACGTTAAGCCGTTCGGCTCCATCTGCAGTCGTTAGCACCCGCCAATCCGCACTGGGCCCGCGTGATGGGTCATGGCCCAATCTCCCGATTCCTTGCATAGGGAAGGCCTGTGCCCCAGCAGTGGGGACCATAGGCTGATGGTGTTTGTAATTATATGATTGTGTTTTTGTTGGTCAATAAAATGGTTCGCTCTCTCTCTATGTTGAAAGTACACAGCAACAGTGATAAGAAGTTTCTTCTTATTGTCATTATGAAATGAAATGAAAAGTCATTTATTCAGTCTAGGCTGTTACAAGCACTTGTGAAGGTCAAGAAGCTACGCCATCGGTTCGCAAAACTACGGCGGGAGACCTTGTACTGAGAAGAACCGGCAAGAAACTCAGCAAGGGCTGTTTTTTTCTCCCTGTATTGATATATACAGAGTCGTCAAGTTGAGAAATCACTTCAGAGATACTTCTGAAGTCACCTTCCATTACATTATTTAGGATATAGATATATAGTTACAATAAATTTTATATTTAGTATATAGGAAGCGGCATTAGATAGGTACCATATTACTGTTACAAAAACTGACTCGTACCCATCAAATAACAAATTACAAGAAACACCATGTCCATACATTACGATCATTTAGATAATCATTAACTTTATAATAGCCCTTATTCATAAGAGAATTCTTGATCCGAGATTTAAATTTGGTTAGTGGAAGCTCAATCAGATCTTGGGGAACTTTGTTAAACAATGCAATACTACATCCCAGAAATGAACCTCTTGATTTTTGGAGTCTGAAACATATAACTGATCACGTTGTGATGTTACCTGGAAGTCGACGCCTCTGGGTGATCCCTCCATGAGGACTAGAAGGGTATCCTTGATGATGTTGAAGGTGGTGATCAGCACCAGTACGGAGAACAGGAAAGTGCAGATCGGGTCTACCAGGTTCCATTCCGGCTGAAACACAGAACAATTGCGTTAGAACACTCTCATAATACACTGGCCGGGAAAACTAAGTATGATTTTTTTGAAGTTATACTTCTTTAGGCGCGTTATGAAAAAATGATGAGAGTGAAATTTTTAGATGCGCGCGCATCACTGTAACCCAAAAGTAACAGCATGAAGTTGGCCGCGGGCGCGTTATGAAAAAATCATGTGAGTGAAATTTCGAGATGCGCGCGCATCACTGTAACACAATAGTAACACCATGAAGTTGGCCGCGGGCGCGTTATGAATGTTATTGTCTAATAATGGTAGATTATTAACCACTTAGTGGTTAATAATCCACCATTATTAGACATCTGTTCGAAAGGTACTTTGAACGATCCACGGAGCTCCATAAGATGATCGCGTTGTCAAAAACAATGTTGGCACGCTCGTCGCCTCTGATCACTGTTTTCATATTTATAATATTTATTCACATGTTTCTAGTTTCTATATAGACACAACGTGTTTTAGTTACTTACAAGTCCTAATTACATATGGACTAATAACTTAAATTCAGTAGTGATTTTAATTGAATATTTTGAATATTTATTTAATTTATCAAATTAAAACTGAACTTAATTGACTGTGTTAACTATCCTTTTCCAGTCCTTTTATTATTTTATTGTAATTATTAATTATTTGCATGCAATTAAAAAATATTTTTAATGATGCTAAAGAAGTATAACTTCTCACGCGCGTACATAAGTTACACGCATCCATTTTTTTTAAATTGCCGCAACTTTTTATGTACACAAGATATAGGGTGTATTCCGAAGTATACAATATGATGCATATATTAGTATCGATTCTGGCATGATTCTTTAAACTTAAATTTCACAATACTGTTGTCAAACCCGTAGTTCATGCTAATGGCCAGAAGAGCCTTACAAGCTTCATCTGAAGCGATCATCCCCTAAGAAGGGGATGCCGCCGATATTTTCAAGTGCTTATTATCTTTATATATATAATTCTTCTGTGAGTGTGTATGTCACTGAACTTCTCTTAAACGACTGGACCAATTTTGATGAAATTTTTTGTGTGTGTTCAAGGGGATCTGAGAATGGTTTAGATTCACAATTTTGTCCGCTGGACAACCCCTATTTTTTTAGGGCGGTACGAAGTTCGCTGGGTCAGCTAGTCTTTATATATATAATTCTTCTGTGAGTGTGTATGTCACTGAACTTCTCTTAAACGACTGGACCGATTTTGATGAAATTTTTTGTGTGTGTTCAAGGGGATCTGAGAATGGTTTAGATTCACAATTTTGCCCGCTGGTCAATGTTTTTTTTTAATTAAATATTTTTATGGCAGTACGAAGTTCGCTGGGTCAGCTAGTTTTTTATAAAAACACAACGTTAGCGCGACTCGGAAGCCGCTGCCGTTGGTAATAACTTCATCTATGTCACTATTAATGTTTTCTTCTAAGGAATTTTCAATAGGTAAGAAATTTTCTTTAACCAAAGATTTTTTTTTATTAGCCAGTGGTAATGACGTCACGAATCCGACGCCATATTGTACTGGTATGCTACCATATTTTTACCGGGAAAACGGATATGACGTATGACCGAGCGTGCGTAAGATGCATTCGAATTTTATTTCTTTTTTATCAAAAGAACAATAATGACATCCAAGCAAAGAGAATTCCTTTTAATAGGGATGATGGCTAATTTTTTTTTCTTCGTTTATCAGGTAGATTATCGAAAAGTATTGGCCACGTATTTTTTCTTTTTTCACATAATATAAACATTGCAGAGACATTTTGATTTGAAAAGTCGCATGACGTCTCGTTTGAGTACACTTATAAGTGAAAATTCACTCAAAAGTGACGTCATGAGCCCCTACTCCCAAACTTTGACGCGCTATAACTTTGTCATTTTTTGGTTGATTGCCCAAAGAAAACAAACGTGTCCATTATTTTTTGATCATCTGACGGACTAAATAGAATTTCGTTTACTGTATCCCGTCATCACACCTATTGGTGATGTGAATAAAAAAAATCTACTTTTTTTGCACTATTTTTAATATTTCCTCGATTTAAGACGTCAGTGCACTGGCCTGTATATTTCGGAACAATTTACCAGTATAGCGTCGATTTACGACGTCATTAACACTGGCCGGTACACTGGTATACATTACAGAATACACCCATAGTTTCGAAATAAAAAGGGTTCGAAAGTGTTAAATTTTGTACTACACTTTCAAAGACTACGTTTTTTATTTGAAATCTCTAACTTCTAGAGTTTAGAAATAAAAATGTGATACTTTGTTTTGCAGGCCAGTGTCAACGATATTAAATAGCCTAGATACACCAACACGAACAAAATCGTGCCCGAAACCTGTCCAAAAGGTACATTATACTATCTATGGAGCTCCGTAAGCTGATTGCGTTGTCAAAAACAATATAAGGTATTATTTAAACATTGAAAGTCACCTTTAATGCATAAAAAAAACGAGCGAGCCTTACAGTAGTCGCGTATGATGTGTAACATTTGAAACTTCACCTTATATTAGTAAAAAAAGAAATAAAATCTACTACAATGCATAAGCCATTTGAACATTATGTTCTAAAATCAACGATATTAAATAACCTAGATACACCAACACGAACAAAATCATGCGCGAAACCTGTCCACAAGGTACATTGGACGATCCACGGAGCTCCGTAAGATGATCGCGTAGTCTAAACAATATAAGGCATTATTTAAACATTGAAAATCACCTTTAAAGCTAACTTTATAAGGTCTTTAATAAAACGCACGCGTCAAAGAGTTTGGCAGTCCGTTATGTAAGCTCGTAGAATTTTATGACGTATTGCTATATGCGGAAGAATATAGACCTTATTTCTTTGCTACGCGCAATTCTGAATGCGCTGTTAGTAATATAGCAGGTGCGGTCCGCGAGGAAAAGAGACGGCTATATTATCGACCATGCGTTTGAATATCACAAATATTTTCTATTAAATCAGTTTATAGTAAGTATTAAAACAAATTTTACTTCAAATGTGTTAAATTAACAAACATTGATTAGATACCTATCGAAAAAACGACATTTTAAATTATATAGGTATTTATTTCGCCTGTTTTCACGGAGCTCAGCGGCATGTAGACTTTTCAACGCTCCGCGCGTGACTCTGAATCAAGAAGTGCTTGAGTCGTGTTCAAGCACTTCTTGATTGCAACACATTTTGAGTGCACGTGGTGTATCTAGGGTATTTAATATCGTTGTCTGAAATCAAATCAAATCCAATAGCGCGCGCTTTCGCGACTTCCTGTTACACACTTCCGTCCCATTTCACGAAATCACTCCCACAAATTGCAGGAAAGCGAGAGGAAATATGTTACACATCAAAAATTTTATATTTTACGACTTATTGCTATATGCGGAAGAATATAGACCTTATTTCTTTGACTCTACGCGCAATTCTGAATGCGCTGTTAGCAAAATAGCAGGTACGGACCGTGAGGAAAAGAGACGGTTATATTATCGACCATGCATTTGAATATCACAAATATTTTCTATTAAATCAGTTTATAGTAAGTATTTAAAAAAAATTTGCTTCAAATGCGTTAAAATAACAAACATTGATTAGATACTCTAAGCTGTATAGACATATTTGTAATAGATTGCTGTAACCTAACCCATCCCAAGGAGGGGGGACCGGTGCTCTGAAATACAAGCTCGGCTTAGTTCAGACACCGACCTCTCATGACATCAATGGCACTCATACTACGATTGTTTAATGTCTATCCATCCATATATATGCCTATAAAAATGTAATTAGTTATTTAAAAAAAATTGTCGATGCCAAAATGTTGTGACGAGAAAATAAACGATTTATACTTGTCGAAGAAACAACACTTTACATACTATAAGTATTGCTTTCGCATTGTTTTCACGGAGCTCTGTGGCTACTTGGCTTTTCAAAGGTCCTCGCGTGACTGTGAACCAAGAAGTGCTTGAATGAAGTTCAAACACTTCTTGATAGGGACTAGTCCAGTCATTATATACATTTAAAAGTGAAAATGAACCGAGAAAGCCAAATTTTGGATATCACGTGGGGGGTGGCTAGAAAAGCTTAAGTTCAAATTGTCGACCAAAATAACCTTGTGCAATTTCCGCCATCTTGAAAAAACCCTTAAATTCAGTTTTTTCATCATTTGATATTTTTGATCGATATCTCGAAAACGACGATCGATACGTGAAAAATGCATGGGATCTTAATTGTAGATCGCGAGAAGAGCAACAAAAAAGTATTCTATAAAAATTTTCGTATCTCAACGGGGAACCGAGTTATGATGAAAAAACTGAATTCAAGGGTTTTTTCAAGATGGCGGAAATTGCACAAGGTTATTTTGGTCGACAATTTGAACTTAAGCTTTTCTTGCCATCCCCCACGTAATATCCAAAATTTGGCTTTCTCGGTTCATTTTCATTTATTTCCCGATTTTTCCGACGTAATGACTGGACTAGACACATTTTGAGCATTCGTAGCGTATCTAGGGTATTTAATATCGTTGGCAACAGCTTTTAATCTTAAATAAAAATATCTACGCAAATAAAGTCCTAACAGGTCTATCTCCTACTCAAGGGCGGATCCAGCTTTGGTGCCGGGGGGGGGGGGGGGGGGGGGTAAGGGGTAAATAAGTACAGATTGTGAAGTGGGTACAGATGGACCCAGCCCAGGGGGGGGGGGGGTCATGACCCCCATGACTCCCCCCCCTCCCCTGGAACAGCCCTTTCCTACTGGGGTTTCATTTATAAATTTACCCCAAAGTAACCCATCCTACTCTCACCTTATAGTAGATAACGATGGCAGCGATCAAAACGCCGAAGCTTTGTAAGAAATCACCGAGAACATGTATGAATGCGGCGCGTACGTTGATGTTCTCTTGGTGAGAATGTTGGTGGGACTCCGAGCTTTCTGCGTCGGAATCGCCGCGTTCCTTCTGTTGAATGGAATAAAGTTCATTTTAGATATAAAAATTAGTATCTCACTAGTTATTATTATTATTTTTTAGAACACGCACTCCAATTAACCTAGCCCCAAAGAAAGCACTGTAAGGCTTGTGTTATGGGATGCTAGTGTAACGGATAGAATACATATACTGTACATATATAAGTATATTTATATAGAAATACATATTAAACATCCATGACTGGAGAACTAATGCTCGTATTCATCACACAAACATCTTGTAGTTAAGTAACTTCCGCAGTGGTCGGTCATTGGATGGGTGACCGAAAAATTTACTTTCATTTTAAATATGAAAATAAGTATCTCACAAAATATACTGCGGAACTAAATAACGCAAGTGGTCAACGCGTTCGACTGCGATCGTTGAAGTTAAGCAACTTCCGCAGTGGTCGGTCATTGGAATGGGTGACCAAAAATATACTATTTCGAGCTCCTCCGTGCTTCGGAAGGCACGTTAAGCCGTTGGTCCCGGCTCGTCTGTAGTCGTTAGCACCCACCAATCCACACTGTTGCTATAGGCGGAAGAATATAGACTTTATTTCCTATGACTTTTTTTTTTTAAACACACACCAATAGCACTGTAAGCACTGTGAGGCTTGTGTTATGGGATAACTAGGGTAACGGATAGAATACATATACAGTACATATATAAGTATATTTATACAGAAATACATATTTAGCATCCATGACTGGAGTAGAAATGCTCGTATTCATCACACAAACATCTGCCCCCACCGGGATTCGAACCCAGAACCTCTCGAGTCGGCGACACCATGAAACCCGGCGTACAAACCACTCGGCTACGGAGGTCGTCAACTTTATATAGTCATTTTGAATCCGCTGTTGGAAATATAGCAAATACGGAACGCGAGGGAATGAGACGGCTATATAACCGACCATGCATTTGAATATCACAAATATTTTCAATAATATCTGTTCAAGTAATTAGTAGTATTATATCAAAATTTGCTTCAAATTCGTTGACCCACTAATACGTTTTTCGTATAACGAACAATATTTTACAGAAATCAGAAATCAATAGAGGAGCTCGATTGCGCAATTGGTTAGCGCGTACGGCTGCGATCGTTGAAGTTAAGCAACTTTCGCAGTGGTCGGTCATTGGATGGGTGACCAAACATTTACTATCTCGAGCCCCTCCGTGCTTCGGAAGGCACGTTAAGCCGTTGGTCCCGGCTGCATCTGTAGTCGTTAGCACCCGCCAACCCGCACTGGGCCCGCGTGGTGGGTCTTGGCCCAATCTCCCTATTCCATCCATAGGGAAGGCCTGTGCCCCAGCAGTGGGGACATTAATAGGCTGATGATGAGAAATCAATATAATATCTTTATTAAAATTGGATATATAGTACAAGTCTTTTGATTTGCCAATTTTTTTTCTCTATCTCTGGTTATTGGACATAGATAGATAGATTAACACTTTATTATAACACCAACTACATAAATCCAACATTAACAAACAATAAACTTAACAAAAGCATTATAATTGGCGGTCTTATCGCTAAGAGCGATTTCTTCCAGACAACCGTGAGTACAAAAAGTTATACAGTTATAGTAGGTTGGGGTGTTAAATGGCTTGAAGTAAATAGTTACATGTGTACATACAACTTTACATGAAACCTAAGGAGTATGGACATATTATTTAGCTGCGGAGAAAAACGAGCGGAAAAAACATACCTGGTTGTTGAGGACGGGGTTAGAAGGCCCGTGAGAATGTCCGTGACCACCGCCCCCGTGAGAGTGTCCGTGTTGGTGCAGAGTCAAACCCATACTGAAATATTATCATCATATCTAATATATAAAATTCTCGTGTCGCGGTGTTTGTGGTTAAACTCCTCCGAAACGGCTTTCCCGATTCTCATGAAATTTTGTGTGCATATTGGGTAGGTCTAAGAATCGGACAACATCTATTTTTCATACCCCTAAATGTTAAGGGTATTCCCCCCCCCCCCATATTTTTTCAATTTTAGTTTTTTTTTAAATTTTTTTATGATACATCATACAAAATTACATACAACCCAAAATTTTCACCCTTCTACCACCAACCCCTATTTTTTTTATGGCGGTACGAAGTTCGCTGGGTCAGCTAGTAATTAAATGATTTTAGTAGAAAAAAATCCACTCGATCCAGGCAGCAGATGGGACTCGAACCCGCAACCTGCGCTATCTGGGCGGATGCACTGACCATTATGCTACCGCGGCCCTAATTGTCCGTGTCGAATTTTCTCTTGTATTTCTAAGGCTGCAAGGCAGTGTCATCTCTTTGCATTGTAGGTAAGCCTCAATGTCAAATGAATACCTTTGCAAGTATTAAACATTTTAAAGAATAAATAGCAATAGGGTATTTGACAAGTTTTAGAAAACGATCTCTCGGTATTTACTAATGTTTATAGAGTCCATAAAAAGTGGATATTCACATTATATTGTGTATTTCGGTAGAAAAAACTAAATCAAAAACTCATTTTTCAAGTTGCCGCGAAAACGTATTACGCGTCTCACTGGTGTGTGACGTCACACGACTGTTATTAATAATAATAATAATAATCATTTATTTTCAGATAACAAGGATCCATAGATTATTAAAAGGTCAAACCGTACAATGTAATGTCACTTTAACCGGAAGTTTACTTGCGTGTAAAGTCATTTTAGGCCCCACCAATCCCAAGCGTTTTGGGTCACGTGACAAAAGACAAGAAAAATATTATCTTTATCGTGAGTTTTTAGTTAAATTATGAATATTTTTTCTGTAAAAATAGTAAAAACTCCTGCAAATATTCATTGTAAATACAGATGCTAACAATTGGCACTTTATTTTAATACTGTCAAATACCCTATTGTAGTTATATTTTATTTTTTATGCATTCAATTTAATGTTTAAATGTAAAGAAAATTTTACTAGAAAAAAGACCACGTGGACCAGGCATCAGACGGGACTCGAACCCGCACCCTCCGTTATCCAGGCGGATGCATTGACCATTCTGCTACCACGGTCCTAATGTTGTCCGCCTAAACACGTGGATTTTTTTCTACTAAAATTTACTTTAAACATCTAGCAGTAAAACACTGAGAAAATAAAAATATAATTAGATTTCAATATTTTGCTATACACCGTGAATTCTGAGTAACGTTGATATTTCGTAGGAAACATTTTGATGAAATGACTCTGCTACTGCAGCTGCTGTTGCCCACGACTTCACCTGCGTGTAATTTGGAATTTACAAAAAATCATAAATTTATGTATACTCACACTAGGTTAACGGCGACACCGACGGCCGAAGTGATCAGCATGACAGTGGCATCTATCTCGAAAGCCTTGTATATGACTCGCTGCACCGCCATGTAGACCAGGATCCCGGTCACCACCCAGATCAATAACACTGACGTCAGCGCCCCGATAACCTCCGCTCGATACCATCCGAACGGCATCCTAAAGCAATGGATGAATATGAGATTCAAACTCAAACTACTTAGCAAGAAAATACTCGTATCCAGGGCCGGATTTAGGATTGTGGAGGCCCCGGGCCACTTAGGATTTGTATGCTTATTGACCCATCGAAATGTTGTTATTTGAGTCGTATAGTATCAAAGGCGGCAAAGTAGGGTGAACCAAATGCGTAATCATACCCTCTCCACTTTCTTACAGCGTTCTAATTACATGACGCGACTAGTAACTACATATAATTTAATATGTAAGCAACACAAAAAAAACACGTCCAGGACAAGAAGTATTAATGCAACGATATTAACTACCCTAGATACAACAAAACGAACAAAATCGTGGCCGAAACGTGTCCAAAAGGTACATTGGACGATCCACGGAGGTCCGTAAGATGATCGCATGGTCAAAAACAATATAATGCCTTATTTAAACATTGAAAGTCACCTTTAATGCATACGGCATAAGGTCTTAATTAAAATGCATGCGTCAAGTTCGTAAAATTTTACGATTTAGTGTTATATGTGAAAGAATATAGACCTTATTTTTTTTTACTTTTCACGCGCAATTCTGAATGCGCTGTTAACAATATAGCAGGTACAGACCGCGAAGAAAAGAGATGGCTAAGGGCGACGTATAACCGACCATGCATTTGAATATCACAAATATTTTAAATTAAATCAGTTTATAGTAAGTATTACAACAATAAAATTTGCTTTAAAGGCGTTAATTAAAAAACATTAATTAGATACCCGTCGAAAAAACGACACTTTACGCACTATTAGTATTTTTCTGCATTTTTTCACGGAACTCTTTGGCATCTTGACTTTTCAACGGTCCGCGTGTGACTGTGTACTAAGAAGTGCTTGAGTGGAGTTCAAGCACTTCTTGATTGGGACCACAGACTATTTAGATATTGGGACACATTTTGAGCGGTCGTGGTGTATCTAGGGTATTTAATATCGTTAATTCTATGTCTTTATCTAGGTCATAAACTATGCGCACTTAATTTCATACAAATCCGTTTAACCGATTTAGCGTGAAAGAGTAACAAATATGCATACAAATTTTCGCATTTTTTAAATTTTATTAGGATATGTTTGACTTCAATCAAATAAAAACTGTTGGTTGTATACTTATGACATCTATTATTGTATACGATGAAATAAATAGTTTTTATTTATTTTTTCCATTGCCATAGCTGACAAACTTATCGACAAACTTACGCGTTGAGACATGAGCTGCGTCTGAGTCACTAGCAATACACGTGCCGGTGTGAGAGCGAGATAGCATATATGATGTAGCCCATGCGAGAAAGGGATAGTGTAAAAAGACATCAACGCGTTCACCAAAAAATAAATACATTAACAGCAATTTAATATAACAGTATTTTTGTCTTTTTGTAATGCATTTAAACTAACCAGTGAAAAGTAATACCATTTTTTTGAAGACTGGAAGTTGTACTCGACTTTCCACACAATTTAATTGCACAGTACGGCATTTTTTACAGTTTTTTAACACGAAAACGAGAGAAGCAGTTCGACCAACGCTCGGTTACCGAATGAAACGATGTATCGCGACGTCTGTAGGCGTGCCTCACGCATAGGTAATATACTACTTAAGCTTGGCGTAAGCGCTTGCCCTTGTATGCGGACTCTAGTGGGGGTGCTCCGTGGTTTCAACAAAAAGCAAAGCAAACTTCTTAAGCAAAGCCTTAGACACAAATAAACTTGCGCAGTAGACGTTTTTATATGTAAAACAGGTACTGCGCAGGCTTCCTTGTCTATGGTTGATGCTCAAGAAGCGTGCCTGGGTGTATACAATAAATACAAATAACAAAAATATTAATTCATTACAATATTCTCTTCACACTATTATGATATATAGATCTCATTTTAAGCACTTTATACTTGTACCTGTAGATCTCACTTTATCTTTTCGTACAACTAATTTATAATAATACTATTGAGATTTACAAAAAAAATCAGCATTAAAGATAAAAAATTAGTTCTCCAAACATATATTACTTCACATAAACGAGCGGCTTGCAGCCGATGGCACCGCGGACTGCAGCCGTCGCCACCGTCGTCGTCGTCGTATTTAATGACGCCATTTACATTGAGTTTGTTGTAAAAATTCATCACACATGTATTTCGAATACTTATTGTAATAGCTATGAGGACAATTTTTTTTTCTTCGTTTATCAGGTAGATTATCAAAAAGTATTGGACACGTATTTTTTCTTTTTTCACATAATATAAACATTGCGGAGATATATTGGTTTGAAAAGTCGCATGACGTCACGTTTTGGTACAATTTTCACTTAAAAGTGACGTCACGAGCCCCTACTCCCAAACTTTGACGCTTTCTAACATTGTCATTTTTTGGTTGATTGCCCAAAGAAAAAATACGTGTCCATTATTTTTTGATCATCTAACTGACGGACTAAATAGAATTTCGTTTACTGTACCCCGTCATCACCCCTATTGTAGCGATGACAATATTACGATGATCTGAGCACTCTCATTTTGCAGCTTAAAATGCAAGATTTGGCAAATTCGTTCTACAACCAACAAGGATAGGTGACAGGACAAAGCCAATCTAGTGTTTATACTTAAATTGTTAATACAAACTCACCGCCTGGTAGCCGGCCTGCTGGCCACCCACAGCGAGAACAGCGATATCATGAAACTGGCGAAATCTGTGAGTAGGTGAGCCGCGTCCGTCGCTATCGCCAAACTGTTTGATATGTAACCACCTGCGGAGATACATTTTAACTTTATACGTGAATACCTCCTAAATAAGAATAATAAACTGGAGGTCTAATCTCTTCCTCCAGTGTGCCAAATTTCGCCAGTGACTCTATTCTATTTCATCTTCGAACACGCACATAAAGTTCGGAATCACAGACAATTATCGTGAACGAATGGAATGAGTTAGTTATGTTTGTGAGTTCTTTTTGTCTACACTTTTTAGATAACGTTTTTTACTTCAAAACAATATTGCTTTATGAGAACATTTTTGATTACATTAAAACAACCTCTTTTGACAGTGTTAGCCGACTAATTTGTAGAGTTGATTTAATCGAATGTATGCCAACCTAAATTTGTCGTGTAACACTTTCAAGTATTGGCAACACAATAATAAACAAAATTAGATTTATTTGTAAATATTTCATAGGGGGGGAGGGATGTCCCGAAATTGATAAGCCAGCATCTGGCAACCCTTTAGAACAACCAGTAAGTACGGGTATTAAATGACGTATGATAAGTAATGCTAACTGCGAATCCATTCAGTGACCACGGACTCGAATCCCGGAAGGGACAAATGTTTGTTGAACGAGCACGTCAGACAAGATTTTGTAATGGGTTTAGATAGGAATACTGATATGATGAATAAGGAATTTCGAAATAACGTATTTTTTGTGGGTTGAGTACGGAACATAAATAAAAAAGTTTGAACAAATCAGCTAAGACTTATTATCGATTGTAACCATGCGGTTAAAAATGTATTTTTCGAATTCATTTTGACGACCACCTTTAAATGGCGCTGGTGGATTGAAATGCGCTGTGCAAATTTAGGGGTGGAAGCACTATTATCATGGTTATTTTTCAAAAAGATTCAGATTTTTCAATCTAATAGTTTAGAGGGGGGCGGACGCCCTACGAGGTCAAAAAGTAGCACTTTAAAGTTTAATATTTCGCAAATGGAGCCCTAAATCGAAAAAAAAGGTCTGTAAGTAATTTTAAAGGACCTATTCAACGATACCACACACGATGGAATAGAAGATGAAAAAAAATACATCCCATGACGACATGACGAAATTATAAGGGCTATATGTCAAGGCTATGAAACCCTAAAAAATTGGACAAATTTTTGAAGAAGGCTGAGATCCTGAAAATACTAACAATATTTAAAAAAAGCTGACTTTTGCGAACTGCGAATGCGCGGTGGTCGTCATTCGTGCCATAGTGCTACTTGTCCTAGATTCGCAGTTACAATCACCAATTTAAAACAATCAAAGCTGTCCTATTCTTTTGTAATCTCTATATATAAAACTCAAAGGTGACTGACTGACATAGTGATCTATCAACGCTCAGCCCAAACCACTGGACGGATCGGGCTGAAATTTGGCATGCAGGTAGATGTTATAACGTAAGCATCCGCTAAGAAAGGATTTTGATCAATTCTACCCGCAAGGGGATAAAATAGGGAATGAAAGTTTGTATGGAACTTTGTCAATTTTAAACCGATCGGGCTGAGACTTTTGTCATTGTGTATAATACAAGCCTGAGAACAAAAACTGTAGTCTACACTTCAGCTCATCACCGAAGCGAAGCCAGGGCGGGCCGCTAGTCTTTTTATAATTTGTTTCAGTTCTTAGATAAATTATGAATAGGAGCACCGTATAAGAAATGACAATTTTGCGACGCTTTAGCTAGAATTAAAGGTTAAATCTTACACAATGGTATAGAAACCTTCGTCTGTGTTTCAGACTCATACATTGCAGGGCTATTTTCACAAGTCAATAAATAGATGCCATTCCAAAACTTCTGTACCAGCTATCTTCGCGTTTGGACTTTATCACCACTTAACATCAGGTGGGGTAGAGTCATTTGCCTACATCGCTGTAATAATAAAAAAAATGTGTGCGTGTACTAATGTACACACGTAAGAAGTGAAACTTCTTTATGGCCTTATTTTTTTCGAAAAATGATCTACATGCAACTTTCCAGAAATATATATATAGGCGTGCGCTAAGATTTTTCAAAAACTCACCCACTAAAGGGGTATAACTACACCTCACCTCACCTTACCTTACCTTACCTTACCTTACCTTACCTTACCTTACCTTACCTTACCTTACCTTACCTTACCTTACCTTACCTTACCTTACCTTACCTTGTGTGAAACACGAATATTTGCTGTCGATACTTTTTTTTTTAAAGTTGACAGAAGAAGCAATTGTTCGGATGAGGTAAATAGTGCTCTTTTAAAAAAAAGATGGCGCGTAACCAAAAAACGTGACGCGTAACCGAATAAAAATGTGACGGTAATTTTTTTTCCAACGCCGATAAAGAAGTTTCACTTCAAAAAACCGCTAAACTATCTACATAGATAAAATTTGTAAGAAATAGCACACACATCACACCATCTTGCGTGTTCTCGCTTACGTATTACATGAATTACCAATTTTTCATTATTACGTGATAAAAATTAAGCGAACGCTTGAACGAATGCACATTAAAGCATGAAGTTGTCCAGAAGTGATGTCATTTCCATTGTTCAGCTTGGGTTATTCAAAATCATGCAGCATAAACATGGTACAATTATATGTGTATGTATGCTTTTTCCATTAATCATTGGGAAATATTGGTGTCGATTCTGGAGTGATTCTCTAAAGTTAAAACTTAATTTAACATCAATCTCTCCTTTTCATTCCGTATAGAGAATGACAAGGATACACTGTTGTCAAATTTAAGTTTAGGTTTAGAGAATCGTGTCAGAATTGACACTATTGTGTGCCCTATTTATTATTCGAGTACTATATATTTTAGCACCCAAATACTGAATAGATTGTGAATTCACTTAATGCTTCAAAACTTTAAACTCATTCAATGAGAATGCATGTATAATTCTGTTGTTCAACCTTTAAGCTACTGAACATCAAAAATCAAAATTGATAATATTTTCAAGGTACTTATATGTAGCGGCAAATTTTTTGAGCAAAACTGTATGTAACATAGTTACTGCGCAGGCTTTGTCTATGGTCGTTGCTCAAAAAGTTTGCCGGGGTGTCTATACTCACCGACAATTTCTCCTATCATGAATATGACGCACAAAATACTAGCTATAATGAGTTTTCTTCGGGCGCGTTTGTCTATTTCTTCATTCCGCGATCTGTGGCAATGTCCTGGAATAACAAAATAATAAGGTCAATAAATCGTTTCTTCCCTTATGGTGTCCATTGGACTGTAGATGTTACTGTCAGTTTGCTGGCAGTGAAGGTACATCATCAGGCTTCTAATGTCCCCACTGCCGGGGCACAGGCCTTCCCTATGAATGGAATAGGGAAATTGGGCCATGACCCACCACGCGGGCCCAGTGCGGATTAGTGGGTGTTAACGACTGCAGATGCAGCCGGGACCAACGGCTAAACGTGCCTTCCGAAGCACGGAGGAGCTCGAGATAGTAAACTTTTTGGTCACCCATCCAATGACCGACCACTGCGAAAGTTGCTTAACTTCAACGATCGCGGCCGAACGCGCTAACCACTTGCGCCATCGTGCTCCTCGGCAGTGAAGGTTATGATTGATGGATTACCTGTCTACTAATGGGATCAAAAACGGATTGCGACAAAAAAGTCATCATTATTGTCGTCATCCGTTTTTGATTTATAATAACAATAACAACAATTCATTTATTTCAGACAACTGTGATCCATATTAATTTGTTAGTAGACTTATTCTATGTTAGTAGTATATATATGTTTCGTCGAAGTAATAGATTGTGACAGTACAACATGAAAAACATTATAATAATTAAAATAAAAACTTCCTCACTGCCATCTGTATACAATTATTACTTATGTCATCATGACCCATACACAATGCTTGATAAATCAACTATCCATTTTGTTGGCCACAGTCATTAGGAGAGGAGCTCGATGGCGCAAGTGGTTAGCGCGTTCGGCTGCGATCGTTGTAGTTAAGCAACTTTCGCAGTGGTCGGTCATTGGATGGGTGACCAAAAATTTCTATCTCGAGTTCCTCCGTGCTTCGGAAGGCACGTTAAGCCGTTGGTCCCGGTTGCATCTGCAGTCGTTAGCACCCGCCAATCCGCACTGGGCCCGCGTGGTGGGTCATGGCCCAATCTCCCTATTCCATCCATATGGAAGGCCTGTGCCCCAGCAGTGGGGTCATTAAGAGGCTGATGATGAGTCATTAGGATGTTGTCTGAGCTTGCTCGTATTCTGCTCAGCAATGAAGCTATTTTTTTGCGCACGCATGCGTGAAACGTAAGTGTCGCTTCTCGGCAAACATTTATGTTGCCTGCGTATCACAATCTTAGAATGTGGGCTCTGTCGTTGGACAAAACCGCATTATCAGTTCATCCAGCTAATCGTATTATTAGATGTCCCCACCTTGGGGGCACAGACCTGCCCTATGGATGGAATAAGGAGATTGGGCCATGATTCACCACGCGGGCCCAGTGCAAATTCGTAGGTGCGAACGACTGTAAAATGCAACCAGGAACAACGGCTTAACGTGCCTTCCGAAGCACGGAGGGGCTCGAGACAGTCAATTTGACGACCTCCGTGACCGAGTGGTTTGAACTCCGGGTTTCATGGTGTCGCCGACTCGAGAGGTCCCGGGTTCAAATCCCGGTGGGGGCCGATGTTTGTGTGATGAATACGAGCATTTGTACTCCAGTCATGGATGTTTAATATGTATTTCTATAAAAATATAATTATATATGTACAGTTTATGTATTCTATCCGTTACCCTAGTATCCCATAACACAAGCCTTACAGTGCTTACTTTGGGGCTAGGCTAATTGGTGTGTTGTTTTTTTTTTAATTTTTGGTCACCCATCCAATGACCGACCACTGCAAAAGTAGTTTAACTTCAACTATAGTAGAAAAACGCGCTAACCACTTGCATTGCGGCTTTTTTAATACATGACTGATGGAATTGACTGACGGCTGCATGAGCGTCTAATGGCCGCCTATTACATGAGAAAGGTCTTCTTACTCTCGACTTCTGTGATGCTGCCGTTGGGCTGGTCTCCATCGTCGTCCCCGGGGTTGGTCTCGATGACAGCGCAGCATCCCGTGGAGGGGTTGCCGTGCACACAGAATATAACCCGCCGCCCCTTCGCCGGGCTCTCTGTTCCGTACGATACCTTGCCATCTTTGAAACTGGAAAGAAAAGGAGATAAATAGATAAAAGTCAGGTATGAAAATGTAGCGCTGACTGTTATTGCGCAGAAGTAAAAATTAAGATGTGTTGGGGGGAAACAAGGTGCGCGGGTGGGCGTGCTTTGCGCCGATTGGCTCTCCAGTTGTACACTTACGGAAAGACCCGCTCTGTCACCCATAATGCCATAATCGCTTGCGGTAGCGGCGTAGTAAAAATTCATTCATAGATATGTTATTATCGCTGTCTTACTTTTTCGTATAGCGCTGTCGCGATCACGACGCGAAGGCGGGGCGTAGTAAAAACTACTGTAGAAAACCGTTCAAAACATTTTGTTGGCCAAGTGACAGAGCGCAAAATTCCGCGATAGTACCAATGCGCAGCTATCCCCTCCACTTTTTGTTCAGCGCATTTTGTTTTGTTTTGAAAACCATCAATGAGCGCAGAACACTACCCAGGTAGAGCTTTGAAAAGTAATAATTATTATTAAGGTTATTATAAATTTTATTTTAAGCATTTAACTGCTTGATTTATAAATCTAAAGAAAGAAAGTTTACTTGAAAATACAATGAAAATAAATCCACGCAGTCCTGGCATGAGACAGATCTTACATTCATGCCTGATGCCTGGACCATGAGGATTTTTTTCGTTCTTTTTAGTAGTGTTTCATTTACTAAGTATGCGTATTTAAAAAGAATATTTACGCAAAAGGAGAAGAGGACATAAAAATGTACAATAAGAAAAATATAAAAAAAAGAAGGAAAATAATTTATAAAATCCGAAAAAATGAGGCATCTACTCTATACATGTAACCTAACAATGCCACCAAGTTTCAAGAAAACATGTCAACTGCTAGATCATTATAACCAATATCGTTGATTTATAGTACTTAAGTTGTTGTAAAGATCAATGCCATATTAATAATTTAAATACACATGAATTTCTATAACAATTGCGGTTAATGTGGAGTATTTTACTTTAAATTTCAATTAAAAAAAAAAACGGTTATTTCAATTACAAAATAACTATTCAGCGAATCTCTAGTACATGCATAGTGGCAAACTACCAAACATACAATAGCGGATGTAGAAAACAAAATAGATTTTCTATTCCCACGCAGCCCAGTTAATACATATATATGTACACTGGGCAGCAAGAAATCGGGTAACTTGCCACCTCGGAACTCTGATTTGATTTTCTCAAAAAGTGTAACACGTACAACTATCCAAGTTGTATCTACAGAAAGTGCGTTTCTTGATGTTAAAAAGAACAGGATTTTTGACATTAATATTTTTTTAAGTTTTTATTAAGAATTTTTCGTCAATTGCAACTTTATACAAAAATTAGCAAAACGTTAGCATTGTGTTTCTTGCTTGATAGGACAGTAAGTTAAAAGAACTTTAGAATAAAATTTTACTCATTTTAACTATCATGAAACGCACTTTCTCTAGGTATAACTTTGATCGTTGTAAGTTTTATACTTTTTGAGAAAATCGAATCGGAGTGCCAAGATACTAGAGAGTGACCCGCTTTCTTTAAGGTTGAGTGTAGTTTATAAACACTATCTTCAAAGACCAACAGTAGGGCAATAGATTCACAAAACGCGACTATTTTGAGATTATACATATTTAATGAAGTAGTCGTATAACTGTTAATGCCTACTTTTCACACGCTGAGCTACGCCTGTTGACAGCTACGTATAATGCGATTCAACTAAGAATAGAACCGACTGGGCGCCATATTCTGATGTCATAGCTGTCAATTCAAACCAAATAGGTAGAATGAGCAAAAAACGTTTTTCTTTAATAAAACTTATTTACTAAGATTAAGTGAGAAAAAGAATCAGATTTTTTTAATAACATTTAATTACTCATATTGAGAAAAAAAAACACCGTTTTTAATAATATTTATTTATTAAGACTGTGAGAAAAAACATTAATCAAAATCTAGCTCTGCTATTCCGCTCATTTCTGCATTACCGCTGGAGTAGTTCTGAATAATCATGCACTATTACTAGATCACATACGAACATGCATCCTTTATGTAAACGAATGTTTGAAATCGAGTTTCTGAACGCAACTTAAAGTGACATTTGGTTGACGATTTAGGTTATCAACCAATCATGGGCAAAGCTAATAAGTGAAAAAAAAAATATTAACCGATATTAATTATCAATATTTGTTAATATTTGTTAACAAATGTTTGGTTTTTAATCTTGAATTAGCGGAGTGCTAAAAAAGGGTACCAAATTTTTTATGCAAACTGTACTTTTCAATCGACATTTGACAGACAGAGGTCATTAGCTTTCCTATTCTTATTTGAATAGCATTATATATGTTTTTGTTTATACCAACTTTTCGCCCGCGAAATTGTCTGGGTGGCATCATAAACTATAATTTAAGTGCTTTCATCCCCTAGATCAACCCGTTACAGGTTGGGGTTACAATAATGTAAACATTCATTGATAATCATGTTCTCATCTACCAACCCATTTTGTCATTTTAACTTCAAAACTACGGTAATTCTATTTCTAAGTGTTTAGACATTAAGTAGTTTTAAACTTTTGTAATTTAAATATTTGTATGTAAATAACCAAATAAATTATACTTCACTTCAAAACTGACGAAGTTTCATACATATATCAACCCATATTTTAACCCCATGACTAAAATATTTGCTTTAATAGCTTCGTACAGGTCACGGAACGTAACTCTAGCGCTGAACGAAACGCAGAGGGGATAGCTACGCTTGGGTAAGACTGGAGAGCCAATCGGCGCAGCGCACGTCCACCCGCGCACCTCGTTTCCCCCCAAGACATCTTAATTTCTACTTCGGCGCAATAGTGGTGAGCGCTAGTTTCGTGCCGCGACTTATACCTAGCCTCGTTTAGGAAAGGTAAGAAAAAGTAGAACATTTGCAATTTCTTTTGCGACCGACTTCCGTAATATTGTAAACGAAGTAATTTGAATATTATCTCATTTTATGCTTCTTGCCGTAGGTAATGGCACTCTTCATTACCTACAAACGAGGATAACAATATGACAATATTGCAAGATCGTATGATGATTCGATTACTAAACAATTCAGATTTTTATAAACCACTGCTACACTGTTTAAATTAATAGAAAATACTGTACAGAATATTTAGTTTAAGGAATACATTGTAACTATTTTTGTAAGCGTAAATATTTCTTTTTTAATTGATTTGTACTGCTTAGATTGTAATTACATTTAAATATAACTTAATTATTATTAGCATTTATACCAAAATTGGAAAATTTAAAAAACTAATGTTATTTTTTGTAATTTTAAGTATTGCAATTCTCGCTCTTAGTTTTAAGTTTTAATTTAAAGTATTTTGTAACCCACAATGTATTCGACTGAAGGACTCTGCATCCAGGTCATGAATAAATTAAAAAAAAAAGTATGATGATTCGACCTCTTTCTTCCCTGCCGAACATGACATGTGCGGAATATTTGAAAAAAATCCAAGTCCTGTATTTTTTAAGGTTCTGTACTGAAAAGGAAAAAACGGAATCCTTATAAGATCACTTCATTATCTATCTGTCCATCCGTCCGTCTGTCTGTCAGGACCATTTATCTCAAGGACGCGTTAAGGTAATTTTAACCATAAACAAGGTCTTCCAATAGGAACAGGGAATCTTAGACAGCCTTTGGTGGACATATAAGATCATCTGTTCGCACTAATTTTTGATATATATAAATTATTGAAAATCTGCATTTATTAACCAGTACAGTTGAGCAACGCGCTGAAGTTATTAAAAGTATTGTCAGAAGGGTAGTTCGGTTCATCAAACGTTTAGTAGTGCTATATGGGAAACTTGTGTCTACTGTTTGGGGCTTTAAAATATTAAGGAGTTTCATGAAAATCCGTTGCATTCTGAAAGAGTGACTACCTGATGCGTATTTTCGGCTAGGGGCTTAAGTGGTCCGTATTTTTCGAGAAATATACCCTATATATAGAAACTAGCTGACCCAGCGAACTTCGTACCGCCATAAAAATAGGGGCAGGTGGTAGAAGAGAAAATTTAGGGTCGTATGTATTTTTTAATAGCACATTTTAAAAAAAAATAACAGTCCATAAAAATTTTAGGGGTGTGTAACGTGGTGTTCTATCAATTTCCTGGGATAACGTTCCTCCTAACCCATATGAGAACACTATGTTACAATACCCAATAGTTTGAATTTTGGCGCGAAGGCGCATTGTAGGTTTCAGAACACTACGTTACAGGTGGACAACCATTAATCACTTATCATCACTTAAGGATATGAAAAATAGATAGTAGCCGATTCGCAGACCCACGGAATATGCATATAAAATACTATCGCTCATCACAACCAATAAATAGACGACCTCCGTGGCCGAGTGGTTTGTACGCCGGGTTTCATAGTGTCGCCGACTCGAGAGGTCCCAGATTCGAATCCCGGTGGGGGCAAATGTTTGTGTGATGAATACGAGCATTTGTACTCCAGTCATGGATGTTTAATATGCATTTGTTTATTAATATATATGTACTGTATATGTATTCTATCCGTTACCCTAGTATCTCATAACACAAGCCTTATAGTGCTTACTTTGGGCTAGGCTAATTGGTGTGTGTTGGAAAAAGAAAAATTAATAAAAATCGGTCGGGCCGTTTCGGAATTTATATATAAGATATTCCTGATATACTAGTTTCCGGACTCCCCCCCTCCCATGTCATTCGTACTTAATTCCACCTTGATTTCACCCCATAATTGTTTCGTGGTGCAAGTCTTTATGTGTGACCAATCTAAATCACAATCTAGTCATAAAACAACGCAGCATACGTAGACAGACACTCATTTAAATAATAACATTATTATTTATATGATTGTGATGAGCGATGAATAAATTTATTGCGTCAAACCTTCGTCAAACAGATGTAAATAATTAAAATAATTAACTATTATTTAAATTGAGACAACAATGAGGTAGTGTCGGTAAGTGATAATATTATTT